GTTTCTTTGTAATGGTGGTATTGCTGGATTGAAGGGTTAGTAACTGCAGGTTGATCACTGCCAAGAATATCTCTTGATAGGTCAACATTTGATGAGTTTGAAATAGTCCGGTCAGCTCATATTATACATAGAGTTACACCTAGCCAGCAATATGCTTCAAGGTCAAGGGCACGTCAAGATCGTAAGGAAGCTGAGATGAAGTAAGGCCTTCAGCTCATGTAAAATAACGTTCACCTTTTTTTGAGTAAAAGGGAATGGGAGGGAAAAATGGACACCAGCGATCGTTTAAAGGCAGGAAACCAAACCCAGAACACAATGAATAGAATAGCGACCTTCCGTCTTGTAAACGTGCTATGAGTCAAGTCAGCTGGATGTGATTAGATCTCTAAAGCTTGCAGTCTGTAAATGCTTTCAGCCACTACGCCTCTGAAGCTTTGGAACCATCTCCCATAACGCCTCCGCCTTGCCCTCTCCTTCCCCTCTTTTAGATCACAACTGAAGACCTTCCTCTTCGACAGTGCTTATTGGTCACTTCTTCCCTCCCCCTGGCTCGGGGTCAGGTTCCTCCACTGTTAAGCGCTCTGAGATGCTGCCCCGTGAAGGGCATTATATGAATGCAAGTTGTTGTTGTAAATAAGTTGGGGGAGAGACTGAAGAAGGTGTCCTTTAGTCTTGAGCTCTTGGAGAAAACACAAGTTTTATAGCTACTGATGAACTTTGATTTTCGCTAAAGTCTCATCACTGGATCGCACAGTTATTCATGGTTTATCCCCGAACCGTAAACCACAGACTCGATCTGTGAAAGTAGCTGAGGAAAAGAACCTCGCAATGTGGTGAAAAAAATCACAAAGTAAAAGCACGCCTCTCTTCTGCTGAGTTACTCATTCGGTTCAGTGTGACCTGATACAGTGACTCTGGGCCTCATTTGGGTATCCTGGGTGTTGGGTCTGTGGGAATGAGGTGAGGTCTGGGATCCTATCACACTTGTGCCTACGAAGTAACAAATATTCTTTAGAGAGAATGCGTCTAGTCCAGGAGCTGCCCCTCCAAGTCCTACGGATGAGCTAGGTTGGCTGGTCCGTTAAGCGCTCCGAGAAGCTACCTCAAGTGAAGAATGCTATATGCTGTATAAATGCAAGTTGAAAGACGTGAAAGGCACTCTATAAATGTAATTTTGTTGTTGGTGGTGTTGTTGTGATGGAAGTGTATTTTATTCAGTATTTTGCACTGGGATGGAATGGTTTGGAACATGCTCCTTAAGGTGACGGTGGAAACAGAAAGTTGATTCTTTCTAGAACAAATTAGATAGATTTCTGTTAGGAAAAATATCTCGGGATACAGATATATAGTTTGGACATGACATCTGCATGCGACTGGCAGGATGGTGGAAGGCGACCTGGCTGGACCTTGGTGTTCTTTCGCCTAGCTAATTCTTATGTTCTTATGGTTATTTGAGCTTTTGTGATGTGGAAGCTGAGAGTGTTTGTTTTCATTTTCGCCACATCTTTCCAGCTTCCAACTATTGGGCTACCAACCATTGGGCTACTACCCATTGGGTTACTAATCATTGGGCTACCAACCCTCTGGAACTCCATCCCGGAGTCCCTCTGTCTTGCCTCCTCTATTGCCTCCTTCAAGATCCATCTCAAGACCCTCTTCTTCGACTGTGCTTTTGAACACTCTGCTTCGCCCACTACCCCCCCACCCCCAATCTCCCAACTTGCAAGGCCAACAGGAGCCGAGTGGGAAGAATCTACGCTCCTAGTAGTCTGCTCCTCCAAATCTTGCGGATGAGCTAGGCTAGCTGGTCTGTCATCAGCAGTGCCCTGGCAATACTTCACACCCATCTGGCTCAGGAACACAGAGGTTTGACTCAATTCTGAGATTCTATTACCAAGCATGTCACCGTAGACCCAGCTCACCACCTTGTTTATAGGATATACTGTGTGTATTTCTCATGTCCCCTGCCCACTCCACCATCAGCAGTCGGCCTTCAGCCGTTCGGCCCCCACTCTCTGGAACTCCATCCAGGAGCCCCAATGCCTCGCCCGCTTTCTTGCCTCCTTCAAGACTCATCTGTGATCATCAGTGACATCATTTGCAGACGTGGGGTCAACTTCCACATGTACGTGGATGACACCCAACTGTACCTCTCTGCCTCCACCCTCGACTTTGTCAGACATCAAGTCCTGGATGAGAGCTAATTTCTTCAGTTGAATGTCAACAAGACCGAGGCTCTCCTGATTGGCTTCCGTCAGCACCTCCACACCTCAGGCACTGACGACAGTGTCACCATCCACCTTACTAAACCAGTCTGGAACCTTGGCGTCTTGTTTGACCCTCAACTGTCCTTTCTTTCCCACATCTGTGCCATGACCCGCTCTGCCTTCCCCCACCACCGCAACATTTCCATGGCTCTGCCATTTCACCCCATGGGCTCCAGCCTGCTACACGTCCCCTGCCGCGCCCGCCCCACCATTGTCGGATGGGCCTTCAGCCACCCTGCCCCCACCCTCTGGAACTTCAGCCCACAGTCACTCTGCCTCGCCCCCTCCCTTGCCTCCTTCAAGACCTGTCTCAAGACCCTTCTCTTCGACCGTGCCTTTGATCACCCTCCTTTACCCCCTGCCTCCACCCTCCCGGCTCCCGAACGTCCATCTCGGGTCTGAAACACTGATTGTCCAGCACCTTTGGGATGTCCTCCTGACATGAAAGGCGCTATACAAATATAATTTTGTTGTTGTTGCAATAATAATCCTTGCATTTGATATAGCGCCTGATCACGGCTTCTAGGCGTCTCAAAGAGCTTCACAGAATATACTGTAAAGTGAATGAACTGTATATTTTTGTGGGCCTAATCTCCCGCAGCCCGCCAGTGCCCGCCATGCCATCGGGCTGATCATTTGCCCCTCCTCCCACAGCGATGCCATCTGCTGAGCCTGTTGAGAGTATTGTGGCAAAGTCTGTCATCACTAGCTTGCTGCTCCAGCTTAAGATTAGATCCTGTGTAATCACAGCGTTTTCCGATGGGACGGAAAGGACCTTTGTATCTATGAAATAAATCAGCGATTGGCATTGTCGAGTAATTTCCTGGCGAGATGTCCTGTTTTATTCGTCCCCAGATCTTGCATTCGACAACGTGTCCTCCCAGAACTGATGCCATTCAAGTTTCTTGGCCAATCCCATCCTCACCTGATTCCTGAAATTTCCCATTGCCTCAGCGCAAAATCTTTCCGTCTCTGGATGACCTTCCAGCTTGAAAATGCTTTCTGTTATAATCAAATAATCTAACTTTTATAATCAATAATAATCAAATCTTCCAACGCGTGTTTGCATGAGTGTGTTTTTGTGTTGTGTGTGTTAATTGGTGTGTGTATTTTAGTGTATGTGTCTTAATGTGTGTGTATATATTTTTGTGTGTGTGTTTTAGGGCGCATGTGTGTATATATTTTAGCGTATGCCGTGTTTTAGGGTGTTTGTGTGTGTGTATGTTTCAGTGTGTGTGTATGTTTCAGTGGGTGGGTGTGTTTTAATGTGTGCCTGTGTTTGTCTTAGTGTGGGTGTGTTTTTCTGTGTGTGTTTTACCGAGCGTGTGAATATATTTTAGTGTATGCATGTTTTAGCATGCGTTTTAGTGCGTGTGTCTATGTTTCAGTGTGTGTGCTGAAACATAATGTGTGTATGTGTGTTTGTGTGTTTTAGTGTGGGTGTGTGGTCTTAGTGACAAGAGAGGGAGTAATGAAAAGGCACATTATGTGAATGCTGAACATGGTATGAAGTTTCGAGTGAATTAAAAGCACTGAAAAGGCATTGTTGTGCCCTACGTTATGTTCTTATAAATATGTAATGAGCACGGACGAAAATCGCTTGTCATTCTTGTGTCGTCCCAGAAGTGGAGAGGTTAGAAACCCAACTCCCATGACTGTGGGACCTCAACGACCAGTTCTCTCACTTGCTAGATCATTTGCCAGTTTAAAGCTATACGTTTGAAGAAAAAATTGTATTGACCAGTTTCAAAAAAATATAATCGATATAAAATTTTTTCGCCTTCCAAGACAAAGTGGCAAAACTTGAAAAGCTAATGAACTGAACGCAGATGAGCAGGTCAGCACATGGCAGTATGTTTTGTCCCCGTCTCCAGCGTCAGCCTGGCTCAGTCAGCAGCTCTCTCACCGCTTGATGGGAAGGTTGTAAGTTCTAACTGGTCAGGCAGCATCTATGAAGAGAGGAAAATAAGTTAATGTTTCAGGTCGATAACCTTAACTCATTTGCCTCTCTCCATAGATGCTGCCAGACCTACTGAGTGTTCCCAGCGGCTTCTGACACGCAGATGTAGTGGGGTGGTGGGGGGAGATTTGCATTGTCAGAGGTATAGTTTTTTGGATAAAAAATAAACAGAGGTCCTGTCCGCCTGTTAAGGTGGACATTAAAGATCCCTTGGCACTGTTTGAAAAGAGAAGGGAGTTTCTCTCTCCCATTATCCTGGCCGACAATCTCCAGGATAAATCCCCCCCCATCACCCAAATCTCTCATCCACTTTGTTGCTGTCTGTGGGACATTGCTATACGCAAACTGGCTGCCATGTTTGCCCACAAAGTGCAATCATTACATTTTACAGTGTATCCCGCAGAGCGCTTCGAGACGTACTCGTGAAGTACAAGGGGCTACATCCCATTATTATTACTACTAATAATAATTGTTTTGCCAGAATCATACAATAAAAATGAAAGACCTTGCTCTTGGCTGCCAAGGATTCACTGTATTGTGACATAACAGGCGCTGTTATTTGCAATGATTTGCTGGTGAGTGGCCATTGAATGGAAAAGGTGTTGCGGGAGAATAGGACGACTCTATCCCACCGCTCTATTCGCCGGCTCTTATCAGGAGCAGAGCTCGTTGTCGACTCCACCTATTCTGGATGCCGACCAATTGACTCCAGTTAGTTCCTCCCTCCCTCTGACTCTCGGGCCATTGAACCGTTATCTGTTACTAGATTTTCCTCTCTGCTGTGCAGAGACCAAAGTGCCTCCAGGCTCCCACCTCCGTCGTGGAGCACTGAGCGACCAGGAACAGACAGCCAAGAGCCAAGTAGCTGAGTTTGCGAAACACAATCGACTGCTGATAAGTAGGTGCAGTGAGCTGGGCAGCTGGTCGGTGCTTCCCAATTATACCGTGTGGAATTCAGCCTGTGCAACCTGGGGATATTTTCACAGTGTGGTTGGTGACAGCCGTGAGCGAGTGTGATCGATCGTCGGGGAAACGGCTCGTAGAGTCTCTGCAGAAAGGTACAGTGTTTGTTCTGCTTTCATTGCTGTAACGTCCAAGATATTATTTTCATCTCCCTCTCTTTTTCCGAAAAAAAATTCTTGCTTCGCCTTTGAAGTAATAACCCTCCTCCCTCCCCTCCACCCCCCCCTCAAAAAATAGCACACCACCCAAGTCTCCTCGTCTTCTATACTGCGTTTGTTTACAAGTAAAGGTGTTTGCAGTCATGGTCCGTGTGTGTGTGTGCAAGTGTTTAGCATTTAATCCCCTCTGAGCCTTATTTCCATATCCTTCCTCCACAACTAGGATTTGGTGGGGGGGGGTTGTTAGCGGTGATAGACAAGCAGGCAAGCTGGTTCATCAAGGCTGTTTCCTTCACACAAATTCAGGCAGTCATGTGAATTTCCAGAACACAGCTTCTCTCTGAGGTTTTCCATTCCAAACTTGGACATTTTTAGTTAATAGAGGCATTTTCAGTTCCGATGACTTAAGAGCCCCCAATGCTGCAAATCAAGAATATCAAAATAATAATAATCTTTGCATTTGATATAGCTCCTTATCACGTTGTTGAGATGTCTCAAAGCTCTTCACAGAATATACTGTAAAGTGTAGTGACTGTATTTTGTGGGGCAAAACGCGGCAGCCAATTGCGCATAGTGACTGAGCCGGACACACAGTGACTGAGCCAGATTCCCTCAAATCAGGAGAGACAGGGGTATTCTTTTTAAGCTTGCAGGTGAGTTTTGTCTCGGGTTGCAATGGAATTGTATGATTTAGTAGCGCTCTCACCTCTGGGTTAGAAGGTTGTGGGTTCAAGCCCCCATCCTGGGAATTTGAGTTAATTCTCCAAGTTGCACATGCTGGGTGGGGTGGGGGGTGGAGAGCGAGGTATCGCTGCATTGTCAAACTGCTGCCCTTTGGACAAGACGTTAAACGGAGATCCAGGCTATGCCCCGCACCCGGATAAAATTGGGTCACCTACCTCCTGACTGTTTGTGGGACGTTGCTGTGCGCAAAACTAGCTGCCGTGTTTGTCTACAAAAAAAAAGCTCAATCACTGTATGTGGCAGCAATTTGGACACTCTTAAGCATAGTGATGGGTTTCCGCATGTGTCAAAACACACAGCTGAACCCCGCAAAAACAGTGAACTCTCTCCCCAACCCCCCCACCCCCCAACACCTCCCCTCCCATCCTAGTTCTGCACTGAAGCCACAACCTGGATTAGAAGCTTGCATTCTGGTGCAGGGGCCAAAATCCAAATTCTCGGTGACTCAGAGATGAGAGCATTGCAGCTGAGCCAAAATTCGACACACTGCCTCGATCCATCCACTGGAATAACCTTATAATGACATGGAACCGTTCTGTTGACACAGGAAATAACTATACCCCGGGCTATGTGCTGTAATTCAATACGTTTGCATCTAGAAATGTCCCCCAAATGCCTCCCAATTCTGACTGAAACAGTTAAGGTCCTTTGTGACAGTTTCAGCAGAGGCTGTGTTTTTCCAATGCCATACAATTTGCGTCCATACAGCGCCTTTCACATCATGGGAGGACGTCTCAAGGCGCGTTATACAGCTGGCTGAGTAACCAAGCCCGCGGTGGAGAGGGAGGAAGGTGCTGGACGGAGAGAGAGCAGAAGGTGGTGGTGGGATGTGTGTGTGGGGGTGGGGGGGATAAGGAAAAGATGCCCGTAATTACGGTCAAAGAGGTAGGTCGTTTCTCCCACAAAATAAGCAGTCATTCCTCTTTACGATATATTCTGCAGAAGCGTTTCGAAATGTCTCAATAAGGTGATAAGGCGCTATATCAAATGCAAGGATTATTAATATTATATTATTATTACTGCTACGTCTTGTGGCGGGCTTTACAAGTGTGATGGCGAGTGGACAGCCAGAGGGATTCCAGGTGTGAGTTTTGGGGGTGGGGGAAGTGGGGTTGGGGGGGATGCAGAATGGCTCAGCCGCCGATGCTTCATAACAGCGCAGGTATAACATTCGTGTGTAGAGGTTGGACGGAGAGCTCTGCAGTGGCGTAAGATGAAGGAGAATGCGTTGGTACAGCTGGCGTGGTGGGCTGTGTGTGTGTCACAGTCTACATGCTGCAGACACCGACAGGAAATGCAGCACTGAGCACCTCACGCTGGCTCACTCAGCAACTCAACGCTTACCTTCTATTAAAAACGCTATCAAATCAGCGTGCGGTGCTGCTTTTATCCCATACGAGTTCCACAGTGGGTGGCTGTGCCTTCAGCCGCTACGCCCCGAAACTCCGGAACTCTCACTCAATCCCTCCACCTTGCCCCCTTCCTCCCCACCTTCCAATCCCACCTAAAGAACTTCCTTTTTGATCGCGCTTACGGTCACCTCCCGCTTCCACCCTCTTCCCCCTGTCTCGGTGTCGGACTCCGCCACTGTCAAGCGCTCTGGGGCGCTCCCAGGTGCTCCCGGGCGCTACACAAGTGCAAGTTGTTGTTGTTACTGCTGAACAGAGTCTGGAGTAAGGAAACTTGCCTAAGGTTTCGCCCTGTCCGGGAATCGAACCTGGGTCTTCTCGCTTGCAAGGCGAGCACTCTGACCACTACGCTACGGGACTCTCATATTCACATTCATCATAAAATAAATTCATGGCTGTCCTGTGCAAATTGGCTGTGCGTTCGCCTGCAAATACACAGTCCCTGCACTCCGCGGTGAAATCGTGTGAAGCTTTTTGAGCTGCCTTCTGCGATGTGATAAGGCGCTGTGTCAAATGCAAGGATTTTTTTGTGTTAACAGCGATCACTGCTGTTGGATGGGGGAACAGCCCAGAAGCAGGGATTAAATTGGGAAACACTCTCATTAATAGGTTGGATTGACGACTCCTTCGCATTAGTTTAACTTGAAATTGTAGGATTGAGGGCCGGGCCATTAAATAAGTGTCTTGTTGAGCCCTGGCTGATATATTTTTCACTCTCCTGCCCGGAAACACTAAGGCTCAATGATATGAATAATAATAATAATACTACTAATAATAAAATGAATGCTTGCATTTGATGCAGCACCCATACTCTCCAAATGTTTCAAAGCACTTTACAGCAACTACTGTTAATAATAATCCTTGCAATTCATATAGCTCCTTACCACGTCATTGAGACATTGCAAAGTGCTTGTTAAGTGCAACGACTGTACGTTCGTCAGTTAAAGCAATCTCCATTTTACACACAACAAGAAACAGCAAACAGATAGGGAGTAAACGAGCAACTGTGTAGGATTGAGTTCTGCATTGATGGAAGGTGCCTCAGGATTAGATGTTAAACTGAAGTCTCGCCATCTGTCTGATCAGGCGAGTTTTAAAAACCCCACGGGCACGATCGGAGAAGAGAAGGGAGTTTGCGAATAATCCTGCGATCCGCCACCTTTTTTTAAAAAAAAACACATGTAAGGAGAAACTACCTGGGTCCAGATTGACTCTTATTTATGTCGCCTTTAAGAATTTGGTAAAATATCTCAATCAGAGCCTTGAATTAAGTGCTCTGAGGCACTACCCTGCGTGGAGGGCTCTATGTAAGTGCAAGTTGTTGATGTTGTTGTTGAATTCGAAGCCAATGAGTTTCTCTCAAGCCAGAAAGTCTTGCAGGCAACGACGACAGTTTGCCTACAAAATACACGGTCACTACACTTTACCGTCAATCCAGTGAAGTGCTTTGAGACGTTTCAACGACATGATTAGGGGGGATATCAAACACAAGGATTTTTATTCTTGTTACGAAACATTTTTGAAATCCCCCATTGGTTCTCCCTCAGGTGCTATACTCCCTAAATCCGTGTCCTTTCTGTTGCAGGTCAACCAAGTCACAGAAGATAGCAGTTCCTCCATCTGCCTGAGCAGACGCACGAGGTCACTTTACGGACTTGAGCTTCAACTGGATATTGAAGAACAATTTTCCACGTGGAAAAAGGCTAGCGAGTTTGAATTAAATGGCTGATAAAAAAATCAGGTACATTATTTCCAGCGTATATATGTGAGGTTCTGACTCACTCCTGGGTAGGGGTGAGTGCTTTAACATGCAACGTTTGACAGAAGCGTGTCTGCTGCATTTCGCCCACAAAATATACGGTTAATTCACTTTACAGTATATTCTGTGAAGCGCTTTGAGACGTCTCGAAGATGTGGTAAGGCGCTATATCAAATGCAAGGACTATAGATATATAGTTGACTTGCAACATCCTGCAGTGAGGTGAATGACCGAGTTTTCTCTGGAGGATTGTTGGCCAGAACACAGGGAGAAACTCCCTTCTCTCTACAAATGGGCTCTCGTTTCTGAGTCATTTTCCTTCCCTTTCTGCCTCTCTCCAAACTGCAAACGCCTATCGTTACAATCGCTCACACAATCCCTGATTTTTCTTGGCAACGGAAACTTGAATCCGATCCAGCTTCAATGGTATTTGTGTCGGAGTGAGAGAAGTGGGAATGAATGATCATTTGCTTCCCCCTCCCCACCCCGAAAAAAATTATGACCGCTCTTGAACAGTCAATTCGAACCACAGAATACACAATCAATTCACTTTACAGTATATTCTGTGAAGCGCTTTGAGACGTGTCAACAACGTGATCAGGTGCTATATCAAATGCAAGGATTATTATTGTTATTTTTATAGTTCAGCTCAGTCCAGATGGTCGCTCAGCCATTAGGTTGAGGAGAGGTTGTCCATATCGCTACAAGGAACCTGCACTATGTGTGCAGCAACCCCACACAGGAATGTAGATTGGGAGAAAATTGATCCCTAGGGTTTAAATGGGATCAGGAACCAGCGAGGAAAGGAAGTGGAATAGAAACTGCTTGGAATTCTTGTCTGCTAACAGAGCGGGCTGTGTCTAAGGAATCTACGCAGTGTAACTCTGTCTCCGCCTGACGGAGCCCAGCCTTTGTGAAACAGCTCAGGAGCTTCAGTGGGCCCTGTTCCTGAAATGTATGCAAAGACGGCTCTTATTTTTTTTTTGTTTGGCTTGGGGTGTCCTGAGTTATTGCAGGAATTCTCAACCCGGTCAGGTTTTGCTTTGCGTTTAACAAAAACAAACATTGAGGGGATACAGGAAAGAGAGCGAGAAGAGAGAAAGAGAAACAGAGCTGGAAAATGGGATTAAGCCGTTGAAAGATTTTAGCGTGACCTAGTTATTTTTCTTAATTTCGCCCCTCTGGAATACGTACGTCTCCCTGTTCCAGTCCGTCCTTCCCTTGTGGAGTGTGGTTCCGTGTCCCCCCCTCCCCCAAACTAGTAGCACAGTGGTTAGCCCGCTCACCTTGCAAGCGAGAAGACCCCTCCCCAGGCAGGGCGAAACATTAGGCAAGTTTCCTTACTCGACCCGCCTCTGTTTATCTAGCAGTAAATAGGAACCCGGTTGTTAGTCGATTGGCGGATCTCTTTCCGGTGTTCATTGATCGCCTCGCTTTACCTCACTGTGCTGTGTGAAAGCGGTGTCTGAGCTTCGTTCTCTCTGTTGCAGTTTACCCGCGAAGCTGATGAATGGAGGCATTGCTGGCTTAATTGGTGTCACCTGTGTGTTCCCCATAGACCTGGCAAAAACTCGGCTTCAAAACCAGCAGAATGGCCAGCGGATATACACCAGCCTGTGAGTACGGCGGTAGATCGCTCAGGGAGCTTCAAACACTGCGCCCCTCACTTCGGGATCTCCCTGCCTCGCTCTCTCCATCTCTCCCCCACCCCACCCCCTTTATCCACCTTATCTGTCTACCTCTTCGACTGCACCTACGCTCACCCTCCCCGCTCCCTGCTCGCCCTTGCTCAGAGTGCAACCCTGCCTCTGTGCAGTGCTCCGAAACGCTATCCTGGCAGCCTGGCTCGGTCGCCAAGGATGGTCGCAAGGTTGTGGGGGTGCGTGGGGAGAGGGAGGGAATCTCAATCTCATCCCATCTCAGCTCTGGTTGAGTTTGTGTTGGATAGTCATAGGAGAGGAGGAAGGGCGTGGAGCCCTCACAGCAAACGCTGCTCCTTGGTATTGGAATTACCCTTTATCTGGGCCAAGGTCAAGAGTCCGAGTTTGGAAAAGGTCAAATTCCGCCCGGGTTAAGTGAATTCACTTTCAGTTCTGGATCAAACAGAGCTGTCAGTTCACGAACGCAGTTTCACCCTGCCTTAACTGATTAGATCTCACTGTTCACATCTCACAGTCACCCCTTTTGGTTTGTGGGTTTACAAGGTGGGTCGGAGGTGACGAAGGTTCTTCGGCCCATCTGACCTCTTGTTTCCAATCATATTGGAAAGCGTTTGAAGTGTGACACAGTGCGTCAGAGCGTAACGCTGTGTGTGTTCTCTTCCCCTTGAAGTTCTACCTGCCCAAAAGAGTCATTGTTCCCTGTGTTTGATTTCAGGTCTGACTGCCTGATTAAGACAATCCGATCTGATGGCTATTTTGGGATGTATCGAGGTAGGTGTTTTAAAGGACCACCACCCCCCCACCCTGCCTGCCCCCGGTGTTTATCAACTGATGTGAGCTTGTTTCTCCTAATGTAATGCAAACCCCATGTTGTGTAAATGCTCATATCCATCTGTACTTACCCCACTCAGCCATTTCGGGTTTGGCAACGATTCCATCCTCTTACCTGTTGGGTTTGTATGCTGGGGTAGGAATCGTGCACTTTGGTACTCCAGTTCCTTAAAACATGTTAAGTTTGGTTGGCTTTGGACAGTTCGGAGTTGAAGCTGATCGGTGGAACAGTGCCTTGAGTCTTCAAGGAGTGGGTTTGCACCACATGGACATTTGTCCACTGACGTTCTTCAACGAACGATAAAGAAAATCACAGAGCAGCGTTGTGATCCTATTTCAGTCTAGCTCGTCTTGACGTTAGGAATTGCAACTGGTTTGGCCAGCGCTCTGGTATGGTGTGTTTGTTCTACTGAGAGAGATCAGTGGTGAGATTTTTCTTTGACAGGACAGCGTGGTTTGATTTAAACACGTACAGAGAAAACTCACACCATCGGGTTTTAGGGAACTTGAGCAGCGATTGTGCAAAAGGGAAAGATGGCCTGTATAGATCACCTCTAGTTTATATACATTTACAGCGTTCGTTCAGAGATACCCATTAAAGGGAACCAGGTTTCTCTCTTAACAGTTGCATAAACTTGGTCTCTGTTCCCTTGAGTTTAGAAGGTTAAGGGGTGATTTAATTGAGGTTTTTAAAATAATAAAAGGATTCGATAGGGAAGATACAGAGAAACTATTTCCCCTGGTGGGGGAATTCAGAACAAGGGGGCATCATTTTAAAATTAGAGCTAGGCCGTTTAGGAGTGAAATTAGGAGGCAGTTTTTCAGTTTTTCACCCACACAAAGGGTCGTGGAAATCTGGAACTCTCTTCCCCAAAACAATATGGATACTGGATTCATTAAAATTTTCAAGACTGAGGTGGATAGATTTTTTTTTAGGTCAGGGTAACAAGGGATGTGGGACCAGGGCGAGTAATTGGGGTTGAGGTACAGATAAGCCATGATCTTATAGAAAGGCGGAACAGGCTTGAGAGGCTGAATGGCCTCCTCCTGTTCCTATGTTCCTTTTTTTATGTATATGTAATTTGCTCGCCCACATCATCACTTCACACTCGATGTATGATGCAAGGCTTTCCAGTCTGAGGTGTGTGAGGACATCTTCATGCATGATCTTGCCATTGTGCCTTTTTCTGGCGTTTTCTACACCTTCCCGACTGCGCCCTCGAACTCTCCCACCGATCTCCGATCTGGGCTGAGTCAGCTAATCAGAGCTACTGGTGACTGATATCAGGCTGTGTGACATGTGTTTGTTTCTGTGACACATCAGCTGACTTTGACACCAACCCTCCACATGTGTATAGGATTCCATCAACGGTCATAGCGCAAGAGGTGACATATTCATTATAGATCCAGAATTTAAAGGTCTCCTGTGAGAGAAAGCTGACCTGCTAGTGTACAGGGACGGTGTGAGTCTCGCTCACTGTGAGGTCTCTCAGTTCCCTGCCCAGTTCTGTGTACTGAGGGGGTCGGAGCTGAAAATGAAGAGAATGGGGTAAAGGTATTTCAACGACTTGGCTGGAAAAAGCACTGGCACGACCATGTTTAGTGTGAAGGCAGCCAAATGCAAGGCACCAGGTGTATAAAAAACAACAACTTGCACTTAAACATAGCGCCCTCCACGTAGGGTAGAGTGTCAGAGCGCTTAAAGTAAAACTCCATCTCGGGATGAGAACAGACTAAAAGAGACCAGTGTGTGTTAGGTAGTGACTCGAAACAGAGACGGGTTCACAAGAAACTTGATATTTGGCAGAAAGCGTCTTCGAGATGTCTCAAAGCGCTTCGCAGAATATACCGTAAAGTGAATTGACTGTAAAATTTTTGGACAAAACGTGGCAGCCAATGCGCACAGCAGCGTCCCACAAACAGTCGTGGATTGAGTGACCAAATTATTATTATTTATTATTATTATAACTTTTTTGAAGGGCTTACTACCCCCAGAAAAGCGATCTGCCAATTGACTAACAACCGGGTTCCTACATACTGCGAGGTAAACTGAGGCGTGTGGGGTAAGGAAACTTGCCCAACGTTTCCCCCTGCCCAGGAATGAAACCTGGGTCCTCTCGCTTAAGAGGCAAGTGCTCTAACTACTGAGCTACAGGACTCCAGTTTGTAAAGAGAAGTGAGTTGCACCAAGTGTCCAGTGCCAACAATTCTCCAATTCGCTTCTTAATAATAATAATATTAATAATCCTTGCATTTGATATAGCACCTTATCAGATCATTGAGATGTTTTGCAGTGAAAAAATGACTCATCAGCTCTTGTCACGCCCACCCCCAACATGCACACACACAAAAACAGTCACTACACGACTTTGGCGGTTTTAGAACCAATAAGATGCTATATAAATACTTTTTAAAAGTTCTTTCTTTATCTGAGTGAAGGGGCACTATAGATTTCTGTTTAAAACTGCATGTTGGAATTGATGTTAAAAAGAGTTGTGATCAAGGCAAGAACTCGAACGTAGGTGTGAAAATCCTTATTTGTTTTTTTACAGAGTACGAGACAATATGGGCACTCAAAAGGCCAGTGCCACTTTTAATGGTACGGTAAATGCGTAAATGAAAGACTTTGGTGGGCCACACGTTTTCTGGGAGCGGAGGGGAAGCGTGTGTGCTTGGGGGGGTGGGGGGAGAGCGGGGAGAATGCGGGTGGGGGGGGGTGCGAATCGGTTTAAAAAGAAAATAGGAGGAATGTTGGAAGAAATGAAATGCTTTTTGTGCCTAGTGGTGAAGGGAAAGGTCTTTTGGAGAAGGGGGCTCAGTTATGTTTCTACTAACCAGTGGGGTGTGTGCGAGTGTGTATGTGTGTGTGTGTGTGTGTGTGCGTGCGCGTGCGTATGTGTGTGTCCGCGCGTGTATTTTTGCATGGAACTCACGGTTTTTCAGGTTCGAACGCTTGCAAAAGATTTATTTCTTTATTATTTATTTATACGGTGTGAGAACGTTAATGGCGCCTCCCCTCAGGCGCTGGTAGTGGATGCGTCAATGAGGTCCGGGTGGGAAGGGGCTAAGTCAGTTTGATGGTGAATTTCAGCACCGGTTTGAGACACATTGACACACAGAGGGTGCTACCTACCTATAAGGCTGCCCGCATGCTGCCTGTCCCCTAAAGGCCATGTGCCTCAACCATTAACCCTTCGAGAATGGCATCGGCATTTACTCTTCAACCCCTTTCTCCACCAACACCCAACCTCCATGCTTCATCCACCTCCCCACCCCCCCCACACCTCCCCCACACAGACATCCAGGCTTGGGGGAATCATTTGGGGGATTGGGAGAGAAGTTAAAGGAAACCACTAGGTGTCAGTTGACTCAAAACTGGGATGGGATTGACCAGAGCCATGGTGGTCGATGGGAAGTGAAGGGTGAGAACTTAAACCGGGGTCCCGACTCCTAAGTAAAGGCAAAGAGTTGGGAATACTGGAATAAACTTGTGTAGGTTCCCTGGCCTTGATCATTGGAATTCTGTCCTGTGTGTTACACTGTGACGTTCCCTGCTATCCACTGTCCTGCACACCCTCGCCCGCAAATCGGGGAACAGACACTTTGTGTTGAGGTACAGCAGTCTGCAGGAATGAAGCCCAATACAGATGTATGCTGATAGGAGGTGAGGGAAGTGGGGGGGGAACCAGGAAATTAAATTGAATCTAAGAACGGAAAGTATCCAGGAATCCCTCCGACCCAGCCTCACCTTGGGAGGTCAAGGTCGGTCAAATGTCTGTCTCAAGCCCTACCACTTTGATCGTGCTTTTGGGTCATCTTTCTCCTTCTTACCATTCCCCCGTCCCACTCCCCCCACCATCGGCTCCCCCTCTCAGCTCCGGTGCCCACTATTAAGCCCACTGTTTGGGATGTCTTACTGATGTGAAAGGCGCTGTGTAAATGTAAATTTACATGATGTTTGTATCAAATGTACATTTCACGACTGCTCTAATTCCATGCTCCTGTACACAGCGCTGTCTCTGTATGTGTGTGGCTGGGCTTCCTCCTTCCCAAACCCCCACCTTGTCTTAAAATCACCCCCCTCTGCCCCGTCCCCAACCACGATGGGTGCTTGATAACTAACAGAGCGCTGGCACGCGGAGAGGGGATGTGAGAGCATGCAGTGGCATGCAGTACTAACCACTCTATTCCGCACAGTTCACCTGCATGTTCCCTCCAATTCTTTGGTGTTGCCACATACAGGTCGACCCCCATTATAACACGCCCAGCTATAGCGTGGGCCCGTGTATTGCACTGTGGACCCAATTGTGTCCTGTGTCGCTGTTCGGCTGTCTTACTGCGCACAGCGCGCACGGCAGGAAGCCCCACTGACATCACTTCGTTTGCGAAGGTAGTGACCTCAGCGGCCACAGCCGATCTAGGTGCGTTGATTGGTGGCCATTTTGTTTATTTTTACGCGCGCCCCCATTATAACGCGAGCTTCGAGATGACAGACCCAAACCACCGCCTTGTAGCAGGGGAGTCGGCCTGTATTGAACTGCAGCCTCTTTCAAAGCTTTCCACTAATGACTTAAGCGCTGCCCTCAACACAAACTGTCTCGCGTTCCACCTGTAACGCTGGCAAACCTGTCACAGTGTAGATTAGCTGCCAGCAGTACTTTCTTGTGCTCTTTGAAATGCCCTTCGTGTTTCGGCCATTTCTGGGCTCTTGGTTAAGGCTTTAGTGAGTCGGAAGATCTTTTTAACCTCGTGCGTACGTCTGTGGTAACATGGAATTCCTTTTGCCTTTCCCCACCTCTTCCCCCTCCCTCCACCCTGCCCACCCTGCCCACCCTGCCCACCCTGCCCATCCCATCTCCCTACCTTTCTGACCTTTACAGGAGCCGCCGTCAATCTTACCCTGGTGACCCCGGAAAAGGCTATAAAACTGGCCGCAAATGATTTCTTTCGGCAAATGCTCTCCAGGGACGGGTGAGTGACACTTTGGTGACCAGCTAAGTGATCGGTGGATCTAACAGCATAAAAATGCACATCTGTTCCCTCTCTTTCCCCCCTCTCCCTTCCCCCACACCACCACCACCTCACACTCGCCTTCCATTGGGTTTCTACAGAATAACAAAGAATCTGATACCTATAAAGTGTGTCTGGGTGTGTCAGCCTGGTTCAGCTGGCCGCACTTTTGACTCCCGAGTCAGAAGGTTGTAGTTTCAAGCCTCTACATCGAGCCTTTGAATTCAAATAGTCCTAGGCTAATACTTCATTACAGGGCTGGCAATGTGGCACATGCCGTACTTTGGATGAGATGTTAAACTGAGGTCCCGTCTGTGCCCTGTTCAGGCATACGTTAAACATCCTATTTGAAAAGAGAAGGTAGTTTCTCTCTCCCGGTGTTCTGGTTGACAATTCCTCCTCCCCACCACCCCCGCTCGGATAAAATTGGTTATTCACATTAAGGCTGTTTGTGGAACATTGCTGTGCACAAATTGCCTACAAAATCTACAGTCACTACACGTTACAGTTATAATAATAATAATTATTATTATGTTACAGTTAAGAGCCCGTGGAGCGTTTTGAGATGTCCTCCCGACATGAAAGGCACTGTACCAAATGCAAGGATTAGTAGTATAGTAACCCATTGTGTTGGAGACACTTTGATGTAAGAATGAAATGAATGGATTATCTATTGAGCATTTGGGCACTTGGCCTAGGAATTCCACCTCAAGATTCCAAGTATAGAAGAGAGTAAGTAGTGCTTCCCCCTCCTTCCCCCGTCCCCTCCCTTCCTCCTGTCCTCTGTTGTACTTCTACTGCCTCCGCTGTGAGATTGAGGATTGATGTGGTTCAGTCCTGCAGTGCAGGACACCATCTCACCAATAAACTGAAAGTCGGGAGTTGGTTCTGTCTGACTTGGTCGGGTGTCAGAATATCTCCGTCCATTTACAACAAAGCATGTGTTTGTATAGCTAGTGCCCCTCCCGCAGAGTAGCGTCCCGGAGAACGCTTGACAGTTGCAGAGCACGATACTGAGCCGGGGAGAGGGGGGGAAGGGGACCGTAGGCACAGTCAAAGAGGAAAGGTCTTTCTTTTTCTGCAGCAAGAAAGCTGCTGGCTCGACCGCCACCCCCCATCTCCCCGGCCACTGATCGGGACGAACCCAGCGCTTTGGTTGTGTGGGATCTGGTGGCTGCCATCTCCTGTGCTGGGGGGAACCGAACTGGCAGAGCCTCCGGTGACTTTGTGCCGTCGGCAAGGTTAAGAGCAAAGCTGTCGGCCAGCGAAGAGCAGGGGAGGTTTCTCCTCTATCAAAGAATTCAATGGATCAGTCACCTTGTGGTTTTCCTTCAAGCTGAACGGCAAGTCAGTAAACTCCTGCTGTTCAGGAATAAATGCAGGCAGTTTTTTTATTGTGGCAGGCGAGTGAACCAGCCTTGTGTCCCATACGAGTCATAGAATCTTTCAACACACGCAGATGGAGGTTATTTACTCTGTTGCATATCGCCTCCATTGTCTTGTACTATATCGCCATTTAGTCCCACTGTCTGCCCTTTTCTCTCATCCCATCCCTTTTATGGTTGTCCTTCTCAAATATTTTTCTAATTCTCTTCTAAAAAGCCATTTGATGCCTGTTTTCAGTCTTTCATCCTGTATCCTTATAACCCTCTGTGTGTGTGCCTGTGTGTGCGTGCCTGTGTGTATGCGCGTCTGTGTGTGTGTCTGTATGTGTGTGCTGTAACAAAAAAAAATCCCAGCCTCTCCCTTTGGTTTTCTTTCTCTGATGAAGTTAAATCGATGCCCTCCAGTTACCACCCACTGGAAATCATTTCTTCCTGTTTACCTGATGCAAATGATAATTGAAAAGCCTCCATGTAATCCATCCGCAGCCTCCACTGTTACGGAGTAAAGGCAGTGGAGTGTAACTGCACGTATGAGAGTTGTGCGATGGTTTCTCTGGTTTCTGGGAATCAGCTGTTCTACCGTCACACAGTACAAAGCTTTGACTCATGCAACCCTCAAAAATTCATCACATTTTTACCCCAAGACCAAAGGGCGATCCCTTTGTGAGCAGAGCGTTTGCTACTGACCACGCGGATCCTAACCTTCAGGTAAATTTACGGCTCATTCCACGCTCCCTCTGCCTCACCTTCAGTTCACACTGACTGTTTCTCAGCCAGCCAGTCATTCAATCGTTCATTCATTCATTTATTCATTCTGCCCCTTGCAGGTGAGGTTTTGATTGGATATGTAAGAGGATATCCTTACAGGTAGGGGTTTAGACAGATTAAGTCTATGATGAAGAAAGCATCCAGGAGAGAAAGATAGGATGGCAGATTTTATTCAATGCATTTAATTATAAAGAAGTCCTGACGTTCTATTTACTGCTCCCTTTGGCTTTAAGATTCTCAGCAAAACCCAAAGAATTCGCGTAAGAATTCTTTTAACCCTGTAAGCCAAAGCCCTAACCGGTAGAGAGGTCCTTGCAGCGGGAAAGATGGATAGGCAAAGTGATTTTAGCTGGTTAGACTCCAGCAATTACCCCAACGCATGCTCTGCGGTCCCCAAGCCTTGGCTCTTGCTAACCTGGGCCTAATACTTTCTGGAATTAGGTAAGCAAGATACGTCCCCCGGGGTTAGAGCATGCATTCCATTCCAACAATTAAGCATGGTGATGAGTTTCCGCATGCTTCAGACACCCGGCTGATCAAAAATAAAGGATTTCTTCAATAATAGCCATGTGATATTAGATACCACCTCTCGCCGGGGAGCAAGCCGAGGATTAATTAACACTGGCTCAGTACCTTTTTGCTTGACCCATATGTTTAGGCTTCTCATTGAACACATTAGTAATGTACAAATCCTACTCTACAATTTGATCTGCATTCATAACACTGTTGAGAGAAAACAATTGCAAAGGCGGCAGATTCCACTTGGGTCTAGACTTACACTGTTTGCATATCAGAGCTTCCCAGGATTTGGCAAGTGCTTGAATATAAAGACTTGCTTTTGTGCAATCTGTCAAGTTTCCTTCAAGAACTGTGAAAACAGACTGTATACAACAATTTGCCAGATTCTGGTCGCTCCGAAATGCTTAGAAACCAGAATAAATCTAGGCTCTGCTGAATTACCGCCCCCCCCACCCCATATTAGATTTTACGAATAAGGAAAGAAAAGAAAGCGCTGGGTCTAAAATGTGGGTTTGGGCTAATAGCCCATAGTGCTAAACATGTACAAGTTCATAATTATGTCAATTGCCCACAAAAGGAATGACAAAATCACCTAAAATCCTTTAACATTGGTGGCTAATTGCATGATTGGAGAGGACTGGTATGCATTTGAACATGGGTTGGCCCCGTGGGCTATTAGCCCAATCCGCATTATAGATCCCGATGTCTTCTCTCCTGTACTCTTTTCAACAATGGTATTGTTTTCTCTGGTCCCATGTTGGCATATAATTCTACTACTACTATTGATAATCCTCGCATTTGATACAGCGCCATATCACGTCTTTGAGATGTCTCAAAGCGCTTCACAGGATACACTATCAAGCGAATTGTATTTTGTGGGCATAGAAACCATTCAGGGGAATTTCCAGTGGGCTCATAAAGCTGCTCTTAGAACCCATTGTCGCACACTGATTGCTGTAACTCTACTCATGTTTTATTTTCCTGTTAAGGTCACTTTAGTGAGATTTTACCGCATTAAAGATTTAGTGGAAAAGACGGATATATTTAGCAGTCGGGAAATAAATGAGACCTTCCTATTGGTGAGACAAAACTCTGCACACTTGCTTACACGCAAGATGTTTTCAGAAGAATCGCAAGCATGGCGAGGCACCATCCATCTTCTCACTTTGCCAGCTTCACTGAGCCCAACAGGACACCAGCTGGTGACCTCCAGCTCCATTTTATCTTAAATTTGCAGAATTGTGGAAAATACAGTCTTCATTTGGAAGAACTAACAAACCCACTTCCAACGCCAATTTCCCCCCTAAAACTCTGCACGACTGGACCTTAGGATTTAAGACAGAGTGATCTTGCAGGCTAAGGCTAGGCGGAATTCCAAGGCTCACTGTGACTGGCCGCCCGCTGTGACTGCTGAAGTTATTTCAGGCCGCCTGAGCGCTCACATTTGCCTGAATGGTCCCGACTGCCTAAGCAAAGCAACAAGCAACCATAGCTTAGCAACCAGCTCTGGATTGCAAACCGCACACATCCAGCACACTGACTACGTCTATGATGGCTCAGTTGTTTTGCTTGTAGCTTCTAAGCACGTTACCTCCCCCTCCCTTCCCTCAGATCCCCCCCCCCCCACACACATAGTGTTTGTGCAATCGAATATGTCTGTGTATGTGACGCACACATATTCAATTACACATTATTAAATAATAATAGATTTATTATAATAATAATCCTTGCATTTAATACAGACCCTTTCATGTCGGGAGGACGTCTCAAAGCGCTTCACAGAATTTACTTGCACATAAGCCCCATCATTTTTTATTAAGTCTTATTACATTTTAAATTTTAATTAAGAGTCATTTCAAAATATAGATATGCGGGGCCTCAACGTCACTTCATAACGCATAATAAAAATTATTGTACAAAAGTGTGGGGAAAAATTTCACCTGGAATTCGAAATTTACTCTATTTATAATAATAATAATCCTTGCATTTGATATAGCACCTCATCACATTGCTGAGACGTCTCAAAGCGCTTCACAGGATATATTGTAAAGTGAAGTATCTGTGCATTTTGTGGGTGAAACATGGCAATGAATTGCACACGGCAGCGTCCCACAAACAGTCGTGGAGTGAATGACCAATTTTACTTTGGGAAATGTTGGCCAGAACACCGGGAGAAACAAACTCCCGTCTCTTTCTGAATAGTGCCGTGGGATCTCTAACGTTCCCTTGAACAGGCAGACGGGAGCTCAGTTTAATGTCTCATCCGAAGGACGGCACCTCCGACAATGTGACGCGGCCCAGCACTGCATTGGAGTGTCAGCTTAGGCTATGTGATTCCAAGAACCGACGTGGGGCTTGAACCCACAACCTTGTGATTCAGAGGCGCGAGTGCTACCCACTGTGCCGGGGTGACACCTGGTATTTCAATGAAATTTGGAAAATCCTTGAATACAGTGTTAATTTTGAATCCTGTATGTGCGATAAGCTATGGCTTGGTGACGGTGGGGGGTGGGGGCTGGGGTGTATTGAGGTAACTGCTGACGATTAACTGGCTAACACCACAGAGCTTGCCCATTGAGAGCACTATCTCAAGGGCACAGGATAGAATTGGATCCAAGTCAGTGGGTTCGAGTAGCCAATACATGGAAACACATCTTGCAACATCCGCCACACGCTTGATCAATAGCTTGGAACGCATCCACTCGCTGAGTGCGACATGGAATATTACACAAATCAATCCCTAGAGGCCGGATTGAGTTCATTAAACTCAGCTGTGTAGAAGTCCCACCATCAGTTTGTACGGTATTGGTTTCCCCCTTGTTGTGCATCTTTCATCCTGTCTATTTTTAACAATACATCCATAGTCAGCTGCTCACTCGGAGGTCAAGGTCAGTGCCTCATTGACGGAGCTTCACCCACTCCCTGTTGTGTGAATACCATCTGTGTTCAAAGCACTTTGGCCTGTGAATGCACTCTGACTCTTTCCCCGCCCTCCCCCACCTCTCCCGACTCTTTCCCATTCCCTCCTCTCCCTCCTCCCTCATTGCAAACGTCCTTCACCTGGTCCCGTTTAAGAGATTTTAAAAAAAATGATGTAAAAATAACGAATTGAAAAAGAATACAGCTCATTAATAATGATAATAATCCTTGCATTTGGCATAGCGCCTTATCACATCGTTGAGACATCTTAAAGCGCTTCCCAGGATACACTGTGAAGTGGATTGACTGTACATTTGGTGGGTGAAACGCGGCAGCCAATTGCGCACAGCAGCATCCCGTGGACGGTCGTGGAGAGAGAGGCAGGACGCTGTGTCAAGAGGGTGAAGGCGAAAGGGGCTTGGCTTGGTTTCCATGGGTCTGACCAGATGTGCTGTGCTGTTATGGCACTGTACCCCTGCTGTTCCTCTTTACAGGAAGAAACTGACCTTGTTCAAAGAGATGCTGGCTGGCTGCGGGGCTGGCACCTGTCAGGTTGTGGTCACCACCCCTATGGAGATGCTGAAGATTCAGCTGCAGGACGCGGGTCGTCTGGGTAAGTGGCCGTCTGAAACGTGGGCCGACTCGGCGTGAAGCGGCGACGCGGTTGGTTGGGGGTGGATGGGGGGGGTGGGGGGGCGGTGGTGTGGGGGGGAGCCGCGGTTGGCGTAACGATGAACGATCCTTGCGTTGGACACAGGGCGAAGGCTCATCGTGGTGTGGAAACGCTTAAATAATAATAATCCTTGCATTTGATATAGCGCTTTTCACGTCGGGAGGACGTCCCAAAGCGCTTCACAGAACACAATGTAAAGTGAATTGACTGTATATTTGTGGGCGAACGCGGCAGCCAATTGCGCACAGCAATGTCCCACAAACAGTCGTAGATTGAAAATGACCAATTTATTATTGTTTTTGGTTTTGGAGGGATTATTATTAGGCTCTGTGTGGAGTAAGGAAACTTGCCCAAGGTTTCGCCCTGACCTGCCTGGAATTGAACTCAGGTCTCTCACTTACAAAGCGAGTGCTCTAACCACTGAGCTACAGGACTCCACAAGCGCTTAAAAGCGCTTCACAGGATTTTACCGCAATGCGGGACTTGTGGCGGAGCCCCTCAGCACGGTTGGCGCACTCTCTCTTTCTCTCTCTCTGGAGGGATGCAGCCTGCTTAGCTAATTCTGGAGAGTATTAGGGCCCAGGTTGGCAAGAGCTGAGGCTTGGGGTACCCTAGAGTGTGCGTTGCGTCTAACCAGCTAAAACCCGCGCAGCTTGCCACCTGAAACGCTTTGAGACGTGAAAGGCGGGGGCCGGGTGCAGATTGTTGACCCTGCTGCTACGTGTGCTCAGTGCTGGGCTGACGGACTTGCTTTCTCTATGTGCGATCGTACGCAGCTGCCCAGGAGAAGCTCATGGCAGCCCAGGCTGTGCCCGGCTCCGTGCCCATGGGATCCGTCTCCAGCTCAAGTCACGCTACCTCTGCGGTCAAATCCCAGCAGACTGCCACGCAGATCACCAAAGAGCTGTTGAGGAACAAGGGAATCGCCGGTCTCTACAAAGGACTCGGAGCCACGATCCTAAGGTAGGAAAGCAAGAGCAACATATTGAAAACTATATTGAGCGCATGTCGATCTTTCCTAATTGACCACTATGTTGAATGTGCGTCAGTCTGTCTGGATTGACTGCTCTGTCGCACGGGCAGGCAAGTGTGAGTGAAAGGCGGCAGCCAGTTGCCCGCGGCAGTGTCCCACAAACAGTTGTAGAGTGAGACAAGGTGTTGTGTCACGGTGGTGAAGGTGAAAGGGGTTTGGGTTCCATGGGTCTGACTAGTTGTGCTGTGCTGCTCTGGCATTTTACCACTGCTGTTCCTCTTTACAGGAAGAAACTGACCTTGATCAAGGACTTGTGTGTGTGTGTATGTGTTGTGGGGGTGGTGGGTTGGGGGAGCATTTGCTTGGCTGATGTTCTCTCCTTTGTTCGAAGGGATGTTCCGTTCTCCATCATCTACTTCCCACTCTTTGCGAACCTTAACCAGCTGGGTCAGAGGAACCCTGGCGAGAAGTCTCCCTTCTACGTCTCCTTCCTCAGCGGCTGTATCGCCGGCAGCACAGCCGCTGTACTCGTCAACCCCTGCGATGGTGAGACATTGCCGGCCGCTTGTATAGTGGTGGTGAGACACGGTGACGGCCAAATGCCTCCGTCCTGTAACTCAAGAGATTAGAGCGCTCGCCTCGCAAGCGAGAGAACCTGGGTTCGATTCCCGGCAGAGTGAAATGTGAGGCAAGTTTCCTTACTTCACACGCCTCTGTTTACCCAGTAGTAAGCAGGGTTTGCACCCGAGCTGGGAGTTGGAATCGAGAGGGTTGGAGGGTAAAAGGGGATTAGCGGGAGGTTGACCGAAGGCACAGTCAAAGAGGAAGGTCTAAAGACAGGCCTTGAAGGAGGCGAGAGAGGGGGTGAGGAGGAGCGATTCCAGGATGGAGTTCCAGAGGTTAACAGCAGAAAAGCTGAAGGGCCGACTGCTAATGGTGGGGTTGGCGTGGGATGTGGAGCAGTCCAGTGTCCGCTGTGCGGGGACACTGGGAAGGATGGTAAGGTGTTAGTAGGTCGGGTGGGTAGGGGAGCAAGACCACGGAGGGCTTTGAAAGTGAGGACGAGGATTTTAAACTCAATCCTCTGGGGGTTGGGGAGCCAGCGAAGCCAAGCGAGGGGTGGTGTGGGTTTCTGTGCACGTCAGACACTCAGCTGATCCCTGCAAAAAAACCTAAGACCTTCCGAGTCTGTACAGTGCAGTTACACTCCAGGTCCATGACCTCAACAGCAGAGAGCCAGCAGGGAAACCCCTCCAGCTGTGTGTTGACACTGACATGCTTCAGCTTTGCTATGTGAATGCTCAGTTCCTTTCATCGCACCATGCTCTCTCTCTCTCTGGTTAATCATTAGCAATGAGCACACACAGCGAGCGAGGCTGACTGTGTGGGCCTCCGGCAACTTGCGGCAAGAGTGCGAGTCTTGTGGATTTTCAGAGCAGAGAGTTTGTTCTGTACCGTGGGGGCTCTGTTTTTCTTTTCCTCAGGGATCGCTACCTTTATTAAGAACCTTTCTCTCTCTTTCTTATTCCCTCCACGTCCCCCTCCCCCTCTCCCTACTCCAGTGATAAAGACAAGGCTACAATCTCTTCAGCGGGGAATTAATGAAGACACGTACTCAGGAGTAATAGATTGCACCAGGTAATGGATGATGACAAGCCTTACTCATTGTGTTCTGTGCTCCACTTTGTAATGCGGGAGTCCCATAGCGTAGCGGTTAGTGCATTCGCCTCGCAAGCGAAGGGGACCCTGGTTCAATTCCTGGGCGAGGCTAAACCTTAGGCAAGTTTCTTTACTCCACGCGTTTCTGTATACCCAGCAGTAAGTAGGAACCCAGTTCTTAGTCAATTGGCGGATCGCTTTTCCGGAGGTAATAATCCCTCAACAAAAAATTTGGTCAATCAATCTACGACTGATTGTGGGATACAGCTGTGTGCAATTGGCTTCCGCGTTCCACCCACAAACTACACAGTCAATTCACTTTACGCTATATTCTGTGAAATGCTTTGAGACATCTCAATGCTGTGATAAGGCACTTTATCCAAATGCAAGGATTATTATTGTTGTTGTGAGCTCGCTGGTGCTGGGGTGCTGAAGCTGCTGGAGTGACTGGAATCCAACAACGCCCCCGGGTTCCAGTTCAGGGTCCTGCAGCGTTGCAACACAACCCCAGTGAGAGGTGACCAAGGCCGGGAATATTTGTCACTGTGTTACCTGAATCAGCGAATGATTAACCTGGGATTAAGGGATCTGACCAAAGGTCGAGGGTACTGTTGTGCCCTCAAGGTCACTTGAGAAGCGCTTTGAGACGTCTCAAAGGCATGATAAGGCGCTATATCAAATGCAACGATAATTATTATATAGAATAGGCCATAGTTTACTTTATCCCCTGAATTCTGCCGTTGAGATGTCTTTGTTGTATCCCGGGGTCGTTTACCATTCAGCGCAAATTAAGGTCCTCTACTGATTTACACAGCGAGGCGGGTGGATTGAGGCTGACCGGGGTGGGCTGACACAGGAATCTGCATTCCAGATCGTCCCCTCAGTGTCCCTGATCTAGGGTTAACTTAGCCAAGGTTCCATCTCCTAATCGCTCCTCAATGGGTCAGTTCAGTTCAGTCCCTTATGCATAAAATGAGATATTTAATGGACTCTTTAAGTTGGTTTGTCTCGTACAACTCCCAGACTCTAACCCAATCTGGTAGGGAAACATTGGCTGCCATTTTTGTTTACAAATGCCTTACAGTCACTACACCTTTCGAATTCAAGATCCTCATCCTCACCTCGAATTCAAGATCCTCATCCTCACCTACAAGGTCATTCACGGCCTCGCTCCCTCCTACCTCTCCGACCTACTATCCTCCCTACCTACCTGCCCGTATCCTCCGTTCCTCTGGCTCCGGTCTGCTCCACATCCCCCGCCCCAACCGCCCTACCATCGGTGGCCGGGCCTTCAGCCTCTCAGCCCCTAGGCTCTGGAACTCTATCCCCCAGTGCCTTCGCCGCTTCCACCCTTTCCTCCATCAAGGCCGGTCTCAAGATCTTTCTCTTTGACCGTGCCTTCAGCTCTCCTCTCGACTCTCTACCCCCTCCTCGCTCCTTCCCTTCCCTCACCCTGACCATTTCCCCCCAATGCTCGGGTCCTGACCCAACTGTACAGCGCCTTGGGACGTCCTCCCGACGTGAAAGGCGCTCTATAAATGGAATCTTGTTGTTGTTGTTGTTGCAGTGAAATCCTGTGAAGCATCATGAGATGTCTCAATGTAAAACTATTATTATCAATTTTAATGGCCTTTCCTCTCTCTCTCTCTCTCTCTCTCCCTCCCTCTCACCCTTGCTCTCTTTCTCCCTTGCTCTCTCATTCTCCCGCCAACCCTCTCTTTCTCCCTCCCTCCCTTCCTCCCTCGCCCTCCCTCTCTCTCCCGTTCTCCCTTCTCTTCCTCCCTCCCCCTCTTTCACTCCCTGCCTCGTCTCCCTTGTTTTTATGTTTTGTGCCCCCTCGGCCTTCCCTCTTGCAGGAAAATCTGGAGGAACGAAGGAGCTAAGGCGTTCCTGAAGGGGGCGTACTGCAGGGCCCTGGTCATCGCCCCTCTCTTTGGCATCGCGCAGGTTGTGTACTTCCTGGGGATAGCGGAAACCATGTTAGAAATGCTCCCCAGCTGGCAACATTAACCCAAAGCGGAGTTAATGCCCTCCCTTCTGTGCTACGGGCATTCAGTGCGTCAGCTCATCAGCACAGGTTTGGGAGGTGAAAACTCACAAAAATCATTGCACCCTCCTTCACACCCACCCTACCACCAATTCACCCCACCCACCACCCCCCCACCCTCACCAACACGCAACACTCAGCCCAGAAGCAGAACCTGTTCTGCTCCTCCAGATAATTCCTCAGATCAGTGTTTTTCCCCAGCCCCCCCCACCTTGTTCTCTATATATATTATTTGGGGGCTTGTGATTTTTATTGCCGTTCATGTTTAACACTAGGATGAAGACGTGTCCTGGGAGCATGAGGTTGGGGTGGTGGGGGGGGGGGGGGGGGGGGTATCTGTGTATATGTATGTGCGTGCGTGTGTGTGTATGTATGTGCGTGCGCGTGCGTGTTTGTGAACCAGTACCAAATTGTACCAGGTATATTGTTCTTCTGAACCGTGAAGTTGATCAGTATTGACTCACCAGCATGCTATTGACCCAGCGAGTCCCATTCCAATGGAGCAAAAGGTGCAGAATATATAGAGAATCAGAGTCTAACTCAGCTGCAGTGACTTGAGAGCCCTTTATCTGACACTAAGACATGTTTGCACAGTGCAGTCCATCCTTCTACCACACCCTCAGTCACTGTTATTGGTCTTGTGTTGCAACGCTTTCTTTGATTGTCTGACGCTAAACCCCCGGCCTTGAGGTGGAGGGTATAGAGATTATAGGAGGCCTAAAATTCAGCTCCATTCTGAATTAAAATTAGCGATTGCTCAGAGTCACATGAAAGTTCTCAAATTCAGCTCCTGAATGAAAACTGAATCGTTGCTCAATTCTGGGTGATGTTAAATGATAAGATAAAAGTGGGTCTTACAGGCTTGGTGGAATCCCGGTGCCTCAGGGGTTTATGCTATGGTGCAATACGAATTACATTTATATAGCGCCTTTCACATTGGGAGGACGTCACAAAGCACTTCCTTCCTGCAAACTGACTTTGAAGTGACCAGGAATTTTACCCTTTTGGGAGGGGAGGGAGTGGGGGGTGGTGGTGGGGGGGTGGGTGGGTTGGGGAGACCGACGCTTAAATCTTTTTAAAATTTGAAATTAAAAAATGTTTCTGCCTATAAAATTTGGGGAAGACTTTTGGGACAGGGACGGGGAAAAGGGGGACAAAAAATCTCCCAATTCAACCTCGATTTTTATCTTATTTAAAAGCAAAACCCTGCGTGTCAGTACCGCAGACGTGAAACAAGTCAAGCTGCTGGGGAGAGGGACCACACGCGAGGCTCTAGCCCACACGCGTGTCACAGCCATGCTGCCGAAACCCAACTGAGACAAACGCAATGTGCACAAAGGAACGAGGAGGGTGTTGGTGGTTGGGGAAGAAGTAATAATAATAATCCCTGCATTGCTATAGCGCCTTATCAAGTTGTTGAGACATCTCAAAGGGTTTCACAGAATATACTGTAAAGTAGATTGACTGTGTGCTTTGGGGGTGAAACGCGGCAGCCAATTGTGCGCAGTGGTGGCATTACCTCCCCCCACCCCACCCCGTTCTCCTTTTCTAACAGGGTGTCCACAAAGTTCTGTCACCCAACGCCCCGCCCATTTATTTCGACAGTGCATTGACCAAACAACTGAAACATGCGGAAGAATTATGTTAATTGTATTTAGAAGTACTTAATTCTGTTCAGTTCAAGTGTTTAACTGTAGATGTCCAGAGGATCGGTGCGTGTGATCTATCGTCGTATTCGTTGCCACACCTTCCGTAACAGGGATGGAGTCAGTGACGAGGTGAAATGCATCTCTGACAACTTGCTTCAGCTCCTCCGTAGTCTCATATCGCTGTGTTGTAACGGGGGGAAGGGTGGGCCGGGGGATGGGTGGGGGTTATCGGGACTTTGTGGACACCCTGTAGTTTCAAAATCCTTGCCTTGGAAGTGGAAACGTGGGAGCATTTTAATGTGATTGTACGCTGGTGTGTCAGTACTGATACTGATGTAGTATTATTGACTTCTGATTTACGTGACTTAAGGGGTTGCAGTTCCCATCCTTCTGGAGGTACTGAGGCTCTTTTGCATTCTACATTACCAATGTCGTTATATATCTATCTGTCGATCGGTTGAACAGGGATTTGAGCCAAGCGCTGGCTGTGTGGAAGAACCAACCAAGCACAATTGAGATCTATAACCAAATGACCAAGGAGAACATGAGTATGTATTTATATCTGTATGTGTATGTATATAAAATACCAGCTGTCTTGAAGGACTCGGACCTGAAAAACTTCCTGTTCCAGCTTGCCTCCCACACAATGAGGAACAACTTACAAGCTATACTGCAAGCCATACTAGTTCACCTCTTGTTGCACTTCTGGGGAACAGGGAAAGGGCCGTTAAATAGGATTGCTCTCAAAGGAGTCAGCACAGAAGCACAGATGGTATGCGCTGAATGGCCTTCTTCTGTGCTGTAAATTCCTATGGTTCTACGGTTCTCCCTTTCCCACTGAGATAAACCGCACAATCCTGACCGACCTCTATAAAGCTTTGACTCCTGATTTGGAACGCTGCGATGGCTTGCACGGATGAAAGGTCGGAAGATCTGCCGTGTTCTCAGCAGACGGCAGGCCAGGCTCAATGGCTTTAGCCGGCTATCACTTCTGGACTTTGTGGCTCGCACTTGTCATTAATACTTGACATCTTTGCTTAGAATGGGAATTTTCCGTGATGGGTCTCGCTCAGCGCCGTAGCTCTGTGAAAGCTCAACAGCGCTAACATCAGAGTGAGAAGCGATGGGGCCAGTGGGCGAGCAGGCCACTCTGTGAGTGCTGAGCTCCTGTTACTCCCGTGAAGCACACGCAAACCTTTCACTTGCTCGGTCTGTGCGATTGATGTAACGCACTGAGTATACGCTTCTGAGCATGTGTGGGGGAACTGAAGTGGCAGCCTGGGGGTGAATGCATAGGGTTAGATTGGGAGGGAGGGGGTAGTGTCACCATTCGTGATACTCTCCGTTAGGTGACTAAGTCGGATTTGCACTGGCTGTGTTTTGCGGCGTGTAGCTGTCTGTTTGGTGTAGTGTACTGTGTGTACAAATGATGTCAAGTGTGAATCGTTACTTGATGATTGATCCTTATCTGCAAGAATAGATTGTATAAAAGTATGACACCATGCTCACTTCCTTAGAGCAAGATATGTCCCTTGGATTGTCCCACTTCCTGGTTCTATCTCTTGCTTCAAGGTCTGCCTTGACTCAAACAGTGAGCACAAGTCAGGGGCATAGACCTTTCAGAGCTTCATGTTTTGCAAGGGAAGGAGAGAGAGAGAAACCCCAGAGAGAGAGGGGGAGGGAGGTAGAGTCATAAACTTATACAAGAATTAACCCACAAAGTATTAACTGTGATGATTACTTTGCAAACCATTTGTTCAGTAGAGTGAAGTTAAAGTGATTCATGATTCCATAACCTCTGCAGATCAGTCCCTTATGAAATGCCTCTATTCTTTTCTATTCCAGTGTTTTAATATTTAATCTACATATAGTTATTGGCTTGTTAATATCACCAGCTGCCAATGCTGCTAGCTTGCCAATTCATCCACTATTCTGCATTGCTTAACATTAGTGGGGGTTGGAGGGGATACTGATGCTGTCAGAAAGCTCACATGACAATTTGCTCCAGGGCTATTTCCCTGCTGATATTGAATGATATTGAGTGTCGAGAGTGAGGGGGGAGCAGAAGAGGGTCGTTGGGTTGAGTTCTCAAAGCCTCCCCTCCATCATCTCGTTCCGAACAAAATGTTCTGAAACGATAACATTCCTGGAAGAACATGGATTGAGAAGGTCTACATGCACACACACACAAAAAACACTAAGCAAAGTGGAATCACTGTCTCTGTGGCAGAGCCTGTTATACGAGATGGTGGATGAGAGATATCATTACAAGCAGCAGCACAGAACTAACTAACTGGCTTTGCGAAGGCTGGTCAGAGACAGCGAGGCACAGTCAGTGGTAAAAGGAGCAAAGGGTGAACTTCCTTGAGAATTGAATGTACTTTGTTGTTGCTGAGCGGTTTGATGCTACGAGTGCTGGAAAACCTTACTCGTCCCATTTTAACTGAAGTGCAGTCAACCCTATGTTGCACTGTTAAAAGTGTGTATGTGTGTGTGTGGGTGCGTCCCTTCTTGAACCCCATACACAGAACGAATTGTGCTTTCTGTGCTCGTGCATTTCAGTGTTTAGACGTTGTGTTGTTAGTCTTTCTGATCGATGTTCAATGAATCCAATGCATATCTTGTGTGTGTACGTGTGTGTGTGTCGGGGGTGGAAGAATGCCCTTCCTTCCATTCATCAAAACACACTGTAAATTCTGTGCAATATTACCCCCCCACTCCCATCCCCAAACGGAATGAACGGTAGTTAACGAAAGATTGTGGTGACATTCTGTGAATGTCTGATAGCAGGACAGGATGATGTGGTGGTGCGGGGAGGAAATGTATTATGCATCGATTGCAATCATGCTGGTTTGATTCAAGCCTGTATTTCTCTGTTGAGAGAAAAAGCCCCCCAGGTGAGTCTCGGGTCAGGTTGGAACACTTGCCCTTTCACCCGAAGGCGCTGGATAAAATGAGTTCAGTGCGTCGAATGCAAGTGCACTCTGATGTTTGACCAAGTTTAGACTGGCTCATCAGGTGAGCGTTGGAGACACAGACTCACTCCAGAAGCCTCTATGGCTGGGATCGTCCTCAGAACGTTAGAGATGGGTTTTTTGTAATTGGACAATCACTGTGTTAAGCCTGGTCATTGCTGTCAAGTCTCTATTTAAGTCGAGGGAAGGGTGGTTGAGGCCAGGACACTGGGACTGATATAAAAATCAGTGCGATTCTGTGATGGGCGGAGGGTGGGATGAGCGGACAGGAAGGGGTGAGTTTGGATAGGCTGAAGAGCCTTCTTCATCCAAATGGATCTTGTGTGAAGCTTCCTTCAGTTCAGGAGCGAAATGTTTTGCTCCAATGCATGACCTCGGTCAGTATCCTCTACTGAACTGCAACAAGCACCATTTGCTGATAGGACCAGCTAACCGGTTACACCTTAACCTTAGTTTCCTCCGAAGGGTAGAGAATGGGCATCATGCGAATTAGAGCGAGCGAGACGGAGAGCAAGGCTCTTAAAACACGGAACAAGGAGTAATTCAAAATAGGGGGAACTTTCAAAAGACTTACTTTTTAATCTGGATTTTTCTTGAATAAAAAGCATTTCTCTGGAATTTTAAGCCGAATACAATTAAAAAAAAAGGGACAGACTTGGGAGTGGGTCAGTGAATTGAAGTGAAGTTGAGGCATGTGTTGCAGCTTATTGCATGTTTCTTGTGGTCCTTTCCCTGGCACCATTAACACATCACTATGGTTTCATAGATTATTGGAGGAATCCAAAACAACAACAAATTGCATTCATAAGCGCCCTTCGCGCCGGGAGGATGTCCCAAGGTGCTGGACAGTGAGGACTTTACACCTGAGCTGGGGTTGGGGCGGGGGGGGGGGTTGAAATCGAGGGGTGGAGGGCAATGGCGGTGGTGAGGGTGGGGGTGAAACCCTTTGTGTGGTTAAAATGCTGGCCGTTTTAACATGTTCCCATTGCTGGCCGCTATCCACAGACTCCCTGTTGGAATACGCGTTGGAACACCAGGTGAGGATAGGGTCCGGCATAGCTTTGGAAGAGCCGTGTAGTGTTCAGCTCTCCAGGATGCTTTGTTGAGAGGGAGGGTAGCACTGGAAAGATGAGATCTTCACCCGATTGTGATTGTAAAGGTCGGGGCATTTGGTAAAAGTGCTGGACTTCAGCCCCACTGGCAGCCGTAACCCCAGGGAAAGAACGGGGAGAGTCAAAGGCCTCAGGAAAGGGAGAATGTTGTTTACATAAATTCCATTAGAAGCTCGTTATTTTCTTCTGGTTCCAGAGGAAATGCTTTGACCCTCTCGTTCTCAGCTTCCTGCTCCACTTTGACCACCGCTCAAACACAACAAGGCAGGACTTGAACAAACACATAGCATGTTTGCAATTCCCACCAGCTCCGTGAAGTACAAACAAATAGTGTATTACCAAGCACTAACTTTCAGACCGTATAGTCAGAGTGCAATTTTAAATGTCTCCATTCTGTGTGTGTGTGTATATATATGTATATATAAATGTATATTTTTTTTGTAAAACCAAAATGTTGTGTGCTGGACGACTTGAGCAATGGTGTGCGTGTGTGCCCACATGTGTGTGCGCATATACGTGTATGTGTACACGCGTGCGTTGCAAAACATGCATTTGTTGCAAAAACAATGGAAATAGGAACTTTTTAATGACATGCAAAACTGTGGAAAGCTGCAGCAAGTGTTTGCTTTAGCTGCCAGTTAAATAGGAACATCTGCTTATTCCCCCACCAACATCCCCCCCTCCCCTCACCCAGAGCTGTCAATTTCGAGTGAAATCCTGTTTGTCTTTAGTTCTCTGACCCTCACAGTCTTACCCTCACACCTTCTCTGCATCCCACTTTGTAGGAACGTGATCGAAAAAAGTTTTTTTTAAAAAAGATGTATTTTCTGAACTTGTGTCAGATATAAATTAATTTTTCTTAACGGCAAGACAACTGTAATGCTGTACCGTGCTGTTGTGAGTACTGTACCACTGTTATTTGAAGTGTTCATCTCTGTCTCTCTGTTCCCCTCTCTCTCTCTCTCTCTCAGACACACACACACTATATTCTTTGGCTGCTACACAAAAAAAGCTGTTTAAACTGGCAAAAAAGAGAAACCTTTGAGAGAAACAATTGTCAAATTCCGTGTAATTTATGTCATGTGACAAAATAATAAAGGTTACTGAGACCAAATGGCCACCTGTGCTTTTCCTTGCTGTATGTCTATGGCTATTGCTATTGCAATATTGTCTCTCAGCCCGTGTGAGAGGAATGTCTCACATTTCTGTTCTTTCAGTTTCAACGGCAGCAGGAATGTGATATACCCTCGCTGTTCCACCCAACTCTTTACACACTGACGGATCCTGTTACTCGTGGCTTTTGAATCTTTCTGACCGAATCATCAAAAGCCCTCTATCTCCAGCACAGGAACCAACCAGTGCCTTATTACACACTTGCTTATTTCAACAGTGTGTTGATAAAAACATCACACTTCTCAATAGTAATAATAATAATTAATAATAATGATTCTTGCATTTGATACAGCGCATTTCACATTAGGACGTCTCAAAGCCCTTCACTGAATATACTGCAAAGTGAATTAACTGTATATTTTGTGGGCGAAACGCAGCAGCCAATTGCACACAGTAGCGTCCCACAAACAGTCGTGGATTAAAATGACCAATTTATTATTAGTATTAAACACTTTCTACATATCTTTGTTGGCAAGATACATAGGGAGAAAGGCCGTGTGGCAGCAATATTACACCAGGTCTATCAGAGACTGTCGGTAATGGGTTCAATTATAAATGGTGACAACCCCATTCTCATACACCAGCTGTTTCCCTTGTTCCTGTCAATGGTAGAAGTTACCATGACCTAATGTGGGTTTGGGATTTAACGAGGCTGATGTAAAGGTGACAGGGTTAGCTCTGCACCACCTCCGACTGCAGCTATTTATAGCTGAGCAACCACACCCACACAGGGTATATTTAACCCCTCCTGACTGTGACTGAAGGTCACTGGAAGGTGGTGAAAAACACTGACCAAACATACCGTCACTACATTTTACAGTACATCCCGTGAAACGCTTTGACACAGAGGTCCTTCCTGGCGTGAAGAGGTCGCTTTTGTTCAAAGCCGTGTGCTGCGGTAATCGTGCACAAGTCTTGAGCAAATGAATCCGGCTTGGTTTGAAAGTGTACCTTGATTCCCTCTGGTGGACAAATACATGTCCGCTGCAGTAACTCTCTGTGTTCCATTGTCTTGGTGAGCCCCTTAACAACTGTTCGGTATAGTTCCTCACTGAGCTGTGAACCTCGGTGCTAGGGTGAACTTTCCCGACATTTCCATATGAACGAATGATGCCTCTTATATCAACGTGTGGCTCAGCTGTCTCCAAGCCTCCCACCTCCCCCCACCCCTCACATATCCCCCTCCCGAACTGCCCTGGCATCTCGCTTTAAGGTCTGGTCTGTAAAACGTCACTCTTGACAATCCAGCGCATGTCCATTACTGTACTGCGCTGACTTGTCAAACCAAACCATCATTTCAAATCCCAACTTGGGGCCTGAGCAATAATCTTCTCACCCAGAAGAGAGTGGCAACATATCAAGGTAAACTCACACACACATATTCACACATACACACCTATGCAGACCAACAGAGAGTGAGAGAGAGAGAGAGAGAGAGAGACAAACAGATGGATAGACAGATAGCCAGATACATACACACACATACATAACGTACAGGCCCTGCACTCGGGATAATTTTGTCAATATTCACACGGTATACAGACAACAACAAATGATATTTGTATAGTGCCTTTCACGTCAGGAGGACGTCCTAAGGAGCTCAAGACACACATATCCCCACACACATAAAATGTTCATACATACAGACACTGACAAACACACACAGCATTACAGCAAGAAATAATTTCGGTTCTTGTCAGTAAGTGCACAATGCAGTGTTGTTTTATTGGTCAAGTATCGCCACACCGCAACTATACCGTACAATAATTGCTGTGTGCCACCATCTAACAGTACACTGCATTCTCACTCTCTGCTGAGACGACTCATGCCGTTCTGGAAATTGACTGGGATATAGTGACTGCAACCGTACACACAACCTGACCTTGAGAAACTGTTGGAAATACAGACCTTATTGCAATACTCTCTATCTAGCACATCAGCAAGAGACTGGGTATAACACCCTATGGCCTGTGTTAGTGCATCCCTCACATTTATAATGGAAGAATTGACAATGTTTTATTGATCAGTTTCTGATGACTGTGGCTGTCACCCTTTGGAGGTGGGAGGGAAAAAAAGGCAGAGGGGTAGGGGGGGGGGGGGGTGATGGGAATGGTACCTTCCGATTCTCCATCTCTTAAGCTGCCTCACAAGCATCTCACCTCCCTTTTCTAACACTGCTTCTGTTTGATCTAGCTGGCAAGGCCCAGCTTCATCGCAGTCAAGACAGAACGTCAGAGGAGGAGGAAGAGGAGAAGGGAGGAGGGTTACAGGATAGACGACAAGACTTTGGCATCCTTTCCGAGGAAGCACTGAAGGAGAAGGGAAAGCAGAGAAGCGCTCGCAGGTAAGGGTTCCGCTGCTTATTTTCCAGGACACAGCCTGGTTAAAGAGAGAGGGAAAAAAAAGAAGATGATTCAGAGCAGCTCTACAAAGCGCTCTCTCTGTACATTGTGGGGTTGCAAAATTGGATGTAATTGTAACGCGAAGGTCAGACTCCCAGGGAGGGAAGGAATTACTGGATTCAGCTTTAAATAAGGGAGTAGGGAGCATTTTTGTTTGCTTTTTAAAAAGAATAGCAGACGGGCAGCTGGAAAAATTCCAGGGCAAGGACAGTGCAAAAAAAAATACTGCATTTAAATACTGTACAAAGAAGAGATCTTATTTTAGATGACTCGATTCCTCCCAAACTGTTAATTGCTTATATTTCATCTTTGTTTTCTCTCTCTCTCTCTCTTTCTCGCCAGACTTAAAAATCACCCACCCAAACGTGCAATTTTATTAACCATTTAAAAAAATTATTTTGTATATATATATATATAAATATATGAGGATGTTGGTTTGTATCTGAAGCAACGAAAGCTGCGTTCATCTTTTTGTATCAGTCTCCTAGAGCTCAGGAGGGAACGATAGATAATAATAATAATAATCCTTGCATTTGATCTCTCTCTCGCTTTCTTTTTTTTTGCTTTGTCGATGTCTGAAATGAACATTCACTGGACTGAGGATGGAGAAGAGGGAGGATGCGTGTAGGGCAAGAGTTTGTCATTGCTCTAAACTGCACCAGTCTGACCTTGAATACTGGGTTATATGCATGTGTGTGTATGTGTGTGTGGAAGGAAGGCAGGAGGGAGGAGAGGGGATTTAAAGATATTTTCAGATCAATCGCTCATCTGCCTTTGCTTTGCTTGTGATGGAGATGAACATGGGGAGTGTTAAAGGGATGGGGAGAGGGAGACAGGCCGGCTGCTGGATGCTGTGACTCCCAAATCGCTTTGGCGGAGGTTTGAGGGACGTGAATTACATTTGCTCAGCAAAACTGCACTGCACTGGGGCCAGAATCTTACCCTCTGAAATGCTGACGCACTTATGCCTGAGATTTGCTTTAATAGACCAAAAAGGGGTGGTGGGAGGAGGGGGGGAGGGGGAAGGGAAAGGAAGCGGGGGGGGGGGGGGGGAGGTTTGTCAAGATGGGCTTCAATGTCAGTGCCGTGATTATAATAATAATCCTTGTATTTGGTATAACGCCTTATCATGTCTTCCTCTCTCCCCACTTCTCCATCTCTCTTGGGGGAGGAGAGAAATTCTGGGGGGAGCTGGTTCTTGACATCTTTTGCTGTAAGATCAATAGTTGCGTTTGGCAGAGACATGGCAGCAGGCTGGCTCTCTCTCTCACCACATCCCAAAATCAGTGAGGGAGGTCAGGCACACGGCTGAAACGTACTCCCCTCCCTTCCTCTCCCCCACCCGCGCCACACACCACCACGGCTGAGTGGGTAAAGGCCCCATGTTGGTCGGAGACGTGCCAGGCGCCGTGTAAAGGGAAACTGTACGGTATTGCATCCAAAGCCCGGCCAGGACGTGAGAGACAAGGAGAAGGTTTCCTGTCATTGAAGCCCATCTTGAAGGTTACATAAACTTGGTCTCTATTCCCTTGAATTTAGAAGGTTGAGGGGTGATCTGATTGAGGCATTATATTATTATTATTATTTTTAAAATAATAAAGGGATTTAATAGAGTAGATACAGAGAAACTATGTCCTCTGGTGGGGGAATCCAGAACAAGGGGGAATAGTCTGAACATTACAGCCAGGCCATTTCAGAGTGAAATCAGGAGGCGGTTTTTCACCCAAAGGGTAGTGGAACTCTGGAACTCTCTCCCTCCAAAAAGCTGTGGATGCTTCAAGACTGAGGTGGATAGATATCCCTACCAACATCCCCCCAGTTCTGATGAAAGGTCATGGACCTGAAACGATAACTCATTTTCCTCTCTCCATAGATGCTGCCTGACCCGTTGCATGTTCCCAGCAACTTCTGTTTTTATTACAGATTTCCAGCATCTTCTTGTGGATAGATATTTGTTAGGTCAAGGCATTATGGGCGGGTAATTTGACTCGAGGTACAGATCGACCATGATCTTATAAAACGGCGGAACAGGCTTGAGTGTGGGTGAATAACCTACTCCTGTTTCCTTGAAGGGTCTCCAGGCGAACCCCACAAACAAAGGCGTCCTCTCGTCCGTTTCACTGGGGTGAAAGCTGCCGTTGGAATCGATGTGAATCGCAAACCGTCTCGAAGGTTGGCTTGTCAATTCCCCGGACGAGCAGCAGCGGATGTGCTGCAAAAAAGAAAAGGAAGCCTCGTGGAAAAGCTTCTCTTGTTACACATCGGCTTCCTTACCTGTATAATCAATTGAGCTAATTCCCTTTCACTGGGCAGCCAAGCAGCCTGGCAGTCCCCAGGGTACAGCGTTTGCTGAGTCTTAACATGGCATCCACTTCATCATCGAATGACTTTACTTCAACAGAAGGGCAGGCTTGCTTCTCCTCTCCCGCTCCCTTTCCTCCCCCCCCCCTCTCTCCCCGCACCCCCACTCACTCGCCTCTCCCCCCTCTCTCTCTCCTCCCTGCCCCCCCCTCTCTCTTCTCTCTCCCCCTTTTCTCTATCTTCTCTCTCTCTCTCTCTATACCCCCCCTCTCCCACGCGCTCTCCTCTCTCCCCGACTCTCTCCCTACCCCCTCTCGCGTCCCCTCCTCTCCCTCCCTCTTTCTCTCCCCCCCTCTCTCTCCCCCCTTCTCTCTCTCTCCTTTTCTCTTCCCCACCCCTCCCCCACCTCCTGTCTACCACTCCCTTCCCCCTCTATATCTCGCCCTCTCCCTCCCTCTCTCTCCCCCCCCTCAATCTCTCCCCCCCCCACCCTCTCCCTCCCCCTTCTCTCTCTCCTTTCTTTCCCCCACTCCCCCTCCTGTCTCCCCCTACCTTTTGATCTCCCACTCCCTTTCCTCCTGCTTTTCTCTCTTCCCCTTCTATCTCTCCTCCCTCTCTCAACCCCACTCTCTCTCTCTCTCTCCCCCCCTCACGCCCTTCCTCTCTCCACCACCCCCCCATCTCTCTCTCCCCTCTCCCTCTCCCCTTCTTGCTCTCCCCTCTCTTTCTCTTCCTCTCTCCACGCCCCCCTCCTCCTTCTCTCTCTCCCCTTCTCCGTCTCTCTCTTTCCCCCCACCCCATGTCTCTCCCCCATTCGGAAGGTTTCCTTTCCTTGAAGAAAAAATTAATAATAATAATAATACGTATGTGGCAGGATAAAACAACATAGTTCCTATAAGCATCTCTGCAACTGGGACTGTTAATAAGACCATTCAGAAATGGCTTGACAAAATACCTGGTGAATAAAATATCATCTTCCTGCAAAAGTAGCTATTTTAGGAAGCTCAAATACATTCAGAAAAGTGACATTCATTCATATGTAACATGGCAGTGTTATTGTTCTGGCTCCTCCATCACTGAAAACCATTTAGAAATTACCTCCGCAGAGTGAATCATAGAATCGTACAGCACAGAAGGAGGCCATTCAGCCCATTGTGCCTGTGCCAGCTCTTTGGAAGAGCCATCCAATCAATCCCGTTCATTCCCTATGCCCCTACAAATGTTTCCTTTTCAAGAACATATCCAATTCCCTTTTGAAAGTTGTTGAGTGATTTCAACATCATAATAATAATAATAATAATTAATAATAATAATCTGGTAAATGATCGAGCCATTGACCTCTATGTTATGTGCCCTCTGTGGCAGGTCTTCGGTGGAGACTGTGGAATATGAAAGGCGAAGACAGACCTGAAAAGGCGACTCCTTAATTAGCGACGAAGATTTGTTAGAAGATCAAACGATCGTGCGAGAGGCTTTGCCTTTGTGGATCAGAGGCCGGACTGAACACCATCGAAGGCATCTGGAGGCTCGGTGGAGCAGAGAGAGAGAGAGAGAGAAAGAGAGAGAGAGGTCGGAGCGGGTAAGGAAGGCAGAGAGAAAGAGAGAGAGAGAGAGAGCAGTGATGGAGACGAGAAACCGAGGTGCTGGGGCCAAGGCAGAGGGTAAGGAATCACCCAAGCCTGCGAGCTCCAAGGCCAGCTCAGCGGCGGGAGACAAGAAGGAGTCGTCGGGCAAACAAGCCGAGTCGGTGAAGAAGCCGGTGATATCGGCGGCACTGGCGGAGACCACCCTGACCAGCGAGACCCCCGCTCCCGCGGACAACTCGGCCAAAGCCCCCGCAGCCAAGCCCTCCTCCGAGGGCAAGAAGGCGACGGACGCCCAGGCGGAGCCCGAGGAGGAGGGCAAGGAGGAGAGCTCGGAGGGGCAGCCCCGCAGCGCGTACGATAACATGAAGCCCTACATCCTGGGAGGGGCAGTCATCGCTGGCCTGGCCCTCGCCATCACCGTGGCCTTCATGCTCCAGAGGAAATGAATGAGATGTACAAAAAAAAACTATAGCAAAACGCCACTCATTTTCTGCATGCGTGTAAATTGGAAAGGGATAGGGTTGGGGTGGCAGGGTTGGGGGTGGGTCGGGGGGGGGGGTGTTTGGGGAGAAAGTTCAGACCCTCCCTTGACGCCAATTAGTTTTCCGGTCCAAGTAGCGCTGTTGAAACCGCAGTGTCCTTCCACATCCCACTGAACTCCGCTACCATAACTCGGTACGTTGTAAAACTGGATTGTGTATCTATCTCCCCCACCGTCTTGCCTACAAAACCTATCGCATTGTTAAATGGGCCACACTTGTCCCCACGCTAGCTTCTTAGTCCTTTCACGAACCTTAATAGTAACTAGTAATAATCTAGTCCCCTGTAGGCGCTAGGTGTGCGTCGTATGCTCCAGTAGGGATCGTTGTAAGAGTAACTCCTTTTCCTCTAGCAGATAAAACAGAAGATGTATTTTCCGCAGCATGTGAACAGTTCCCTGGGCCCCCTTTCTGCATCCCCATATTCCCTTGTTCACTCCAATCGATGCCCTCCATCGAACAGCACATTGCAAAAAGAACGTTGCCTTTAATTGGGTCATTGCCTCTCTCGGAAGAGATAACAGGGGTCAGGAAGGCCTGGGGTGGGGTAGGAATGGGATGCAGTGAGATGGTAGCTGGTTTCCAGGTCCACTCCTGAGTGAAGCTAACAATATCTTTTTATTTGTGGGGGTCGGGATGGGAGGAGATAAGGGAGAGAGAGAGGGAGGGCTGTCTCAACAGTCAGTGGAGTCAATTTGTGGAAGGAACAGTTTGTCTGACCTTGCTGCACGTATTGGCTGTTGCATTTACCTACAAATACACAGTCACTACACTTAATAATAATCACCCTTGCATTTGGTATGGTGACCTTTCACGTCAGGAGGACGTCTCAAAGAGCTTCACAGGATGTACTGCAAAGCGTAGCGACTGTGGGTTTTGCAGGCAAACAATTACGACTTGACAGTTATCCTGTGAGCCAGCATTTTAATGTCGCAGGTCGATATCAAATGTAAACATTATTATAATTATAAACAAGACACACAAAGCTTTTTGTTTGTTTGTTGACGAATCCGAACACTGCTTTTAGTTCTTACTCCGTTGACTATTAAAGAAGATGTTTTCACCCAACCGGTATTTCCTAACCTGGTCTTTTAATTTCCCCTTCAATAAACAATAAAAAAGACAAGGATTTAAAAACTGCGAATGCAATATGACTCCAATTCCACCTTCGAACTTCCATTTCCTCTAGAAGTTACTAGTCAAGTTCCCTATGTGATTTGTCCTGGGCCCACTATTTAATTACACTGACAATGTCACATTTTACTTTGACTTAAAACAAGCGTATACATGCAATAAAACAGCTAAGATTTAAGAAAACAAACTACTAGTTGAGAGTTAATATTATAGATTAGCTGTGCACAGTGTGACCCATGCTGCTATTATTGTAACCCACTCCTATAACCACATACTCGGGACACTTGTTATTTATAAGTGTTGTATTTAGCTTCTAAGCACTTAGTTAAGACTGGCTGACTGATGTAGTGTATTTGAACTACTGTATGTATTCTTTACACTGTACATAGGCGTATATTTAAGAGTCTGACTGTCGGGTTGCTCTCGGCCTGTAATTCAATAAAATAACCATAATTTCACAAAGGTTCAATGTGATATGTTTCTTTAAGACTCAGCCCTTCCCACATTCTGAGTCGACCTGTGCCCGATACTTGGCGGTTAGAATCGGTCGTTCACCAATTGGTCGGGGGGGGGGGGGGGGGCGGTGGGGTCGACGTGCACAAGTCGGCTGCTGCGTTCGCCCTGCAAAAACACGCAGTCGCTGGACCTTACGCTAAACCGTGAAGCACTTTGAGGCGTTCTTCCGACATGAGACGCCGCTGCATCAAATGCAAGGATAGTAACTCCTGATAACTCGACCCTGGCTTAACTTGTCACTGTCACATCATGCTGTCAATATCCCAGCCACACCTTATTTACGTATTTATTCATCCGTATGCCCAACTCGCCACTCATCACTGACTACCTCATCACTGAGACCTTTACCCTTGGAGCGACAAGTTATCAGGACTATTCCAATGGCCTCCTGGCCGGTCTCCCCGGCTCCACCGCACACAAAACCCAATTGATTCAAAACTCCGCAACCCCGGACACTCACCCCCACGACACTCCCTACCCCCGTCGCACCAGTCATCGCCGGCCCCACCGCCTCCCGATCACCCAACGGATCCACTTCGAGATCCTCTCACTCCTTTCCAAGTCCCTTCGTGCCCCCCCCCCCCGGCCCCTCCGACCCGCTTACTCCCCCACTCCACCACCCGCTGCCTCCGCTCGGTTGGCTCCGGCGCCACCACGCGCCCTCCGCTCCGCTCCGCCGTCGGTGGCTGTGCCTTCAGCCGCTACGCCCCGAGACTCTGGAATTCTCTGTCACGATCCCTCTGCCTCGTCCCCTCCCTCCCCACCTTCAAATGCTGACTAAAGACCTTCCTTTTTGATCGCGCTTACGGTCACCTCCCCCCCTCCCTCCTTCTCCCGCCCCCTCCCCCCCCCGGCTCGGGGTCACACCGTCAACACCCCCGGGGGACCCTACCCCGCGCGAAGGGCGCTGTGTAAATGCAAGTTGTTGCCGGTGTATTGACTATATTATTGTTCTGGTGTGAGTTGTCGCCAGTGAGCGTCGGCTGCGGAGGGGCGTCCTCGCCTCTGAACCCCAATCCCGTCCTCGCACAAGGAGGGGGCGAGGCGGGCGAGGCGGGGAGGGGTGTGGGGGGTGGTGGGGGGGGGGGTTAGGTCTGCATTGCCAACTAGAGCAGGAAACTTGGCTGTTACATCTCCCTGACCCATGGACACTGAGGCCAATTGTAGCCCCAGTGGGGGGTGCAGTGAGCCCCTGGTGCCGCCGGGTGTCGCTGTGTGCGTGTGTGTGTGTGTGAGAGAGAGAGCGGGTGCAGTGAGCCCCTGGTGCCGCTCGGTGTCGCTGTGCGTGTGCGTGTCTGTGGGGTGTGTGTGTGTGAGCAGCTGCTCGTCGCCGAGCGGGTGCGCGGGAGGGTCGCTCGGTGGCCGCTCTGAAGAGGCCAAAGAATGGCGCGGAAAGTGATGTGAGCGACCAGGCCCTGCCTGAGGCCGGGGAAGGAGGGAGCGGGGTGGGGCGAGGGAGGGAGGGAGAGAGGGAGGGAGCGAGGGGGGGAGGGAGGGAAGAGGCACCTCTGGCTGACCCTGAGCCAGGCCCTGAGCCACTAATGCTGAGCTGTGTTGCCCACTGGGGGGGGAGGTGTGTGTGTGGGGGGTATGTGTTCCTGGTCACTGCCAACCCACCCACCCACCCACCCACCCACCCAGTGACGGCTCAGACCCCAACTGTATTAATAATAATAATAATAATTAATGATAATAATCCTGGCCTCTGATACAGGGCCTCCTCAGGTCTCGGAGACGCCGCCGAGCGCTTGGCCGGCCGCGCTGCGACGTGTACCGCCCGTGCGTTCTGTGGTGGGCGAAGCCAGTGGCTGTCTTTCCTCGCGGCGGGGGGGGTGGGGGGGGTAAAGCGGGGTCTCCTTGGAGCTGAAATGGCGCGGTGAACCGGAGCGTAGCGGTTATATAGGTCGTATCGGTTCGTTCCTCCGGGTCTGGCCTCCCTCCTCGTCCCCCGAGTCCTCCGCTCCAGCCTCGGCGGCTGTGTCTCCAGGCGCTACGCCCCGAGGCTCTGGAACTCCCTTCCCCCCTCCCCTCGCCTCGCCTGGCTCCCTGCCTTCCTATTCTGCTGAAGGTCTTTCTCTTCGACCGCGCCTTTGGTCACCTTCCCCCCCCCCCACCACCACCACACTCCCCTTGGCTCGGCCCCGGGATCCGTTACTGTGAAGCGCTCTGAGATGCCGTCCGGCGTGGAGGGCGCTATATAAATCCAAGTTGTCGTTGTTAGAGCGCTCGCCTCGAAAGCGAGAGGACCCGGGTTCGATTCCCAGCCGGGGCAAAACCTCAGGCGAGTTACCTTACTACACGCACGCACCTCTGTTTACCCAGCAGTAGGTAGGAACCCGGTTGTTAGTCGATTGGCGGATCGCTTTTCCCGGTGGAGGGTAATAATCTCTTAAAAAAAGTCACTCAATCCACGACTGTTTGTAAGAGATCGCTGTGCGCAATTGGCTGCTGAGTTTCGCCCACAAAATACATATTTACAGTATATTCCGTGACGTGCTTTGAGACATCTCGAAGGCATGTCGCTGTAAGTTGCTGTATCAAATGCAAGATTTACTGTTATTGTAAGAATAAATAATATATTTATAAATATAATAATTCTTGCATTTAATATAGCGCCTTGTCACGTCTTGGAAGCACTTCACAGAATATAATCTAAAGTAAATTGACTGTATTTTGTTGGCGAAACACGGGAGCCAATAATATACATTATTATGGTAATAATATTATAATTTGTTAGTATAATAATAATATAACAATTCTTACATTTGTTATGGCACCAATCACCTCAGGAGGAGGCCTCAAAGCGCTTCACGGGATTCACTGCAAAGTTTAGTGACTGTATATTTGTAGGTTTATGCGGTAGCTGATTTGCACACAGCAATGCCGCATAAATAGCCTTAAATCAAGCAAGAGATTTTATCTAGGGGGTTGTCCTGTATGTGTATGTTGTATGCTGGGACTAATACTCTCTGGAATTAGGTAAGCACGGTGCATCACTCCAGGGAGAGTGTGCGCATCCCATTCAAGACACAGGGAAGTTTCCGTGTCTGGAATGGGATGTGAAACTCTCAGTCTGGTTTGGAGACCCTTAAGCATGATGATTGGTCTCCGCACGTGTCAGACACCCAGTTGACTAAGAAAAAGAATATTGTCTTTAACTTTGACCAGACCATTTGCTATGTTCCAAGGTAATTGAACTGATAGTGTCTGATTTACTGTACGTTTGAAACCTTTTTGTTCCACAGGTACCCATTATATCAGTTTGGAAACCCTCAACTTAGAATATTTCGAACAAACTTCTTTATGACCCTCGTGAGACCTGGAAAGGAGCAACCGGAGGATACAGTGCAGTTCAGAATTCCCATTGAGTAAGTGCAGTTGGCAGGGGATAGTCCTGAACTGAACTCACATTTATATAGCGTCCTTCATGCAGGGTAGCATCTCGGAGCGCTTAACAGTGGCAGAGTTTTATGCTGAGCCAGGGAGAGAGGGGCTGTGACCATGTTTATCGTTGAATAAGAGAGTTTTCAGGTGTCATCTGAAGATGGACAAGAAGGGGACAAGGCGGGGGATTGAGGCAGAGTTCCAGAGTCTCAGGGCATAGTAGTTGAAAACATGGACACCGATGGTGGATCGGCAGGGACGAGTTGTGTGCTGGAGGAGCTAGCTGAGCAAAAAGGGTGGGTAGAGGAGTAGGGTGTAAGCAGGAACTTGAACTGATTATCCAGGTCATCACCGCAATGAGTGTAATGCGTTCTGCTTACATAGACACAAGACACTGTTGACAGTCTTTATAAATTAGTGTGTATTGAGAGCCTAGCATTATTCAAATTCTTATCCACCTGCATTATGCTGCAGTGCTAGGTTTCTGTCACTAGATGCCCTGAGTGAGCTACGTAACAGTGAGCTTTCTTTTCATCTCGGAGTTTACAAATAACATGTTTTTAGAGCAGGAAGAGGAGACTGACTGTGTCAGGGAGCCCACATCATACTGATAACAGGAGCACACTGAGCCACCCAGAGAGTTCCCATAGATTGCCACCCATAGTATCCACGATCTGTCGGAGCTGAAAAAGCTCAGATATCAAAAGAATTGCTGGGACATGAATTGACACTGATCTGCCCTCGCACTGAGAGTTTGCTGTTCTTTTCTGCGCTGTACGTTGTCATTGTATTGCATTGACTGCAGGCCCCTCCGTCGCTCACTCTTTCTACCCCATCTCCTTGCAGGATGACAAAATATGACGTGAAAAACTACTTGCAGAGCATTTATGACGTTCCTGTGGCCACCGTGAGGACCCGAATACAGTACTGTAAGTAACCGGTTGCCTGGCCCGAGAGAGAAAGGGCATTGATCTGGCATGTCTCATTTGAAGGACGGCACCTCTGCCAATGCAGTGTCTCCACTCCCCCCCCCCCACCCCCTGTACTGAAATGGAGTGTCAGCTTAGAAGGTAAGCTCAAAGTCCTGACATGAGGCTTGAACCCAAAAACCTCTTGACTTGGAGGCAGGAATACTGCCCACTCAACCAGCCAGCTAGGTTTATGGTGCAGAAAGGAGGCTATTTTTATGCCTTCTTTTTTTAAAAAATTTTTTTTAATTTTTATGCTATTATGCCGTGTTTCGCCCACAAATATAGTCATTTCACTTTACAGTATATTCTGTGAAGCGTGTTGAGATAGTTAGAAGACGTGAAAAAAGCTATATCAAATGCAAGGATTATTATTATTGTTTGACTTGCCATGAAATGCGCTGATGTTTGCTTCCCTGGTTGGAGCCCTCTCGCCCCAATCCCATCCCTTTTAAGTATTTTTCTTTGTTTATTTGCCCAATTCACTTTTGGATGTTGTTATAGATTCAGCCTTCAGCAATCTATCTCTGGAATTTCCATGTGTAGGTTGCACGCATGGAATTCTCAGCTTGGTTTGGAAACTCTTTAAGGACGGTGATGGGTTTCCACATGTGTCAGACACCGGCTGACCAAAAAGAAATTTGTCCTTCAAAGCTATTTGTGGGAAAGTATTCCATATATTTGAACAAACCTCTGATATATAATCTCCCCTTTGTTTTTTATTGCTTCTGGTATTCCTCTTGTTAGCTGGCTTAATCTCGACCCTCCTCGTCTTCACCCGGTATATGCTTGCACTTTCCAGCAGAGGTCACCAGAATGCAACAAGAAGTGGGATTTTTGTTTATTGTTTGTGCTCATACCATCCGTGTCCTTGACGCCCAATGACCCAGACTGGGGTGGTCCAACAGGCGGCCCGCGGGCCGCATCTAGCCCAGCAGGTGATTTTATCCAGTCTGAGACCATTTCCAACATTCCAACCCTCCCTCCCTGTGTCCTCCGATGGAAGCGGCAGGAGCCAGCGGTTGGGAGAAAACAAGCGTGTGTCCTTATCTACCGTGCCCTTAGCAACCACTGGGTCCTCCCGCTGCAGATAGTGAATTGTGCGGCTGATTGGGAGAGAGAGATTGAGAGAGGTGAGGTGGGGGAGAGAGAGAGGAAGAGGAGGGCAACAGAAAGGGAGGGAAGAGGGGGATTGAGAGAAGGGGGAGAGAGTGATTCACATAAAGGGGGAGAGCAGAGAGAGAGTTATGAGAGAGAGTGTGAGAGGGGGTAAGAGAGTGATCGAAAGAGGGGAGAGAGAGTGTGCCTGTGCGTGAGTGTGAGAAAGGAGAGCGAGAGAAAGAGAGGTGGGGAGATTGAGAGAGAGAAAGAAAGAAACAGAGCGAGGGAAGGAGTGATTGAGAGAGTGTAACAGTATTCTGTGGTGATACCCTGTAGATTGTTCATTGCTCATGTTCTCTTTTCACACTTGCTTCCCCAGGCACCAACAAAAAGAGAAATCACATGAATCAGAGAGTGAAGCGTCCTGATTACAAAGTGGCTTACGTTCAATTGGTAAGTGCACGCTTCTCATCAATCCGGTTTACTTGCTAAATTTCCCTGTATAAGGGTTCACTCCACGGCTGTTTTGGGGAACACTGCTGTGCGCAATTGGCTGCTGCACCTCATCCACCTCCGTTACTTTGATCCATTCGCCTTGCGCCCTCCCTCCCCACCTTTAAATCTCTCCTAAGACCTTCCTTTTTGGTCTTACGGTCACCTCCTCTCTCCCTCTCCTCCTGGCTTGGGGCTTAGACTCTGCCACTGTCAAGCGGTCCGGGAAACTACTATATAAATACACTATATAAATACAAGTTGTTATTGTTTACTGTTCACGTACTGGCATTGCACCGAGCAGGGTTAACACCAAGCCCTCCATTGGCATTCTGACTCTACCTGTCCCGCTGGTTCCTGACTCCTTCTGAGATGGGGTTCAACGCTCGTATCACAATGCAAGAGATGGTATAGAGGCCTGATAGGCACAGAGGGAAACATGCAGATGCATAGGGAGGCTTACAGAATTTTACATTCCCCTTTCCCCACACGTTTTTATGTTTTTCTGTTTCTCATATTTGTCGGATTCCTTTTGGAAAGCTATTATGCATTATGCCAAAATGCAATGCAATCCCCAATCCCTCCAGCCCACCACCCGTGGCCATGCCTTTAGCCATTACGTACCTAACCTCTGGAGCTCCCTGCCTCAATCCCTCTGCTTCACTTCGCCCCAAGCTCTCTTCAAATGCCACCTTAAGATCTACCTCTCCGTCTGTACCTATGGTCACCTCCCGACCGCCTCCTTCTCCCTTGCTTGGTGTCCAACCCTCCCACTGTTCAGCACTCCGAGATGCTATCATGCGCGAAGGGCGCTATATCAATGCAAGTTGTTGTGGTGGTTGCTTTTGACAGGGTGTTTCTTGTATCCTAGTCACCCTCTGTGTTATGGATTTGTCTCTGACCACTTCGCCTGTTATTTTGGCAACTATACTTGTATATAAAACGTTCAGTCTCCAGGTAACACCTCACTGACCAGTGGAAAGAATTTCTCGCTAGTTACCTTATCAAAACTTCTGATAGTTACAGATGCCTGTATCCATTCTCCTCTCGGCTCTCTATGTCCAAGTGGCTCAGCTTTTAAAACAGTTCGCTTTCTGTAATTTGAATCTTGGTGTTTCCCATGACTTGCGACTTCCCGGATTTGCAGTGAAGTAAAGAATTGATCCTCGGTTAGGTACATCTGTATGTTTTAATGACTCCCCTTCTGTACCCTGCTGTGGAGCATTTTGACTGTTCAGGACCTCCGCTATGCGAATTGCACTGGATGCAATCTCCAGTCTGCCCGACCAAGAAAGTGCACACTGACACAAGCTCCCATTATTTTGCAATGTCACAGTGTCCCTGCCCAGTCCCACAGCTGCTGTGTGGGAGCCAAACTCATTCATTGTTGTGCATTCAAATAAAGATTGTTAAACCCCCCACCCCCACATGTTTTATATTAACTACTAAACTTTCTTACAGCATTAAAACAAATCTTTGTTGTGTTCAGTGGCTTTGTAATTTGTTTTGGCTCCGGTGGGTTTGTTTCTTGAGGAGAAAAACCTGCTTTGATCTGCAACGAACTGAATGGAAGCTTGCCTCTCGGAACAAGCTAGTGGTGGGAATGACATTGTGTATTCTTGTTGTGATGTAGGTGGATATGTCATAGGTTTGGACTAACAGTAGGAGCCTTTGGAGTGGTCCTGCAGGTGTAAGGAGCTTGTTCTTACCCCGCCTAGATTTCATTGACAAACCTTTGCCCTGATCGGAGACCTGCATCAGTTCCTACAGTGGAGCCAGGGAACTAGGGCATATGTGGTTCCCTCACACTGAATACAGTAGCGAGCCCCGTACAGAATCTGCACTCGATAGGAAGAATAGAGAATAGGGAACAAGAGCAAGGAATTGCGATTAGGATAGATGGTTTCATTGGAGGAGCAAACACTGGCACTAACATAGTGGGTCAAATGGCCTCTTACTATGTCTTAGAGTGCTACGTTTCCACTGTGGATATCAGATTCCTATGTGTTTTTGTGCGTACAATTGTCTTTGAGTTCTTGTATCTGTGTGTGTAGTGTGTGTATCTCTCTGTCTGTCCATATACAGTATTTACTTGGATTGGATCTCACCCCCCGGTAGTCCTTAAGTAAAATTGTATACCCTGAAACAGTGTGCAGAAGCGCAACTAAAATGTCTTGCTGACATGGCAACCCGACTTTACTTCTTCATATGAATGCTGCGAGGGCGTGTGGCTATCCAGCATGCGGATAGGCGGGGTGCTACTGGCACAGAGCCTCCGTCCATTTGTGGACAATCACGGGTGTTTTGAACATCTCTTTTTGATCTCTTGGAGCATTTGCTTTCTTTGGCAAGTCCAGGCCAGTTGTGTTCACTCCATGTGGCAGATTGCTTTTAAGATGCCAAATACTAGGAATGGTGTGTACTTGGCCTACACATTCAAACATTCCCCTTTAATCCCTAGAATTAAGCAATGTTCTGTTGTTCATATGCATGTGTTGTCCCTGACTGTAGCTGTGGAGTAATCCTAGTGATTTGCTAGCAGTGTTGCTCTGCTTTATTAAACCATGTGAGCTGTCTCAGTGAGAGCTAAATTGATCCGACCATACGTATTGAGGTAACCAGTTTGTGGAGCCTGGGATCTGAGTTCACACTACCTTTAATCACAATGAACCTGTTCCTCAGTTCAGAAACCACAAGCTCTCTGGATAAATGAATCCTTACAGCAGACATTTGGTAGGCTGCAATCACATTGATCATTCTAGAAACAATTTCAGAGGAGAATTAATCATTCTAGGAATAACTTCAGAGCCGTGGAGCAAGTACAGTGTAGGTACACACAGATGTTACTGGGAATGAGGGACCATCGTTATGAGGCTAGACTTGCAAAATATGGGGCTGTCATTTTTGTGAATCGTAGTGCAGTCAAGCAATGCACATCCCGAAAGGGGAAGGAATCCAAACATAACTGGAAAAGCTTCTGCATGCTTTCCCGGACACTCATTGAGTCACTTTCAGGCACCCCGTGTTTGTCTCTCAGCCGATGAATGGAAGCAAAGCAAAGCCAGCCAGGCCACCACTGCGACCATTGGCATGCTATCCTCCAGGTGGCAGTATTGCCCCAACCATCATGTGCTTTCTATTAAACGCTGGTCTTATTTCAGCCCCAGCAATGGATGGCAGTGCGAATGTTTTTCCATATTTACGCAGTATTCAGGCAACTTTGTTAATATCTACTGCAGCTAGTGAAAAAAATAGTTTTGCATCAAAGTCACCCACCGTTAGAGCTGGATCTCATTGTTGGAGGTGCTATCCTTTGGATGAGACATTAAACTGAGGTGATGTGCTTGTTGATGACCTATTCACACGCCCTTCTGGTGTCTAGGCTAGCATTGTTTAAGGCAAATCCCAAATGAACAGGGGAATCCTAGGTTGAGAATCCATTTGAGTCACATGTACCCAATTGAAGCAGTCATTGCTCTAAGCAATGAAGATTTGAGCTGCCAGTTGCCCCTGTTTACGGTCAGCCGTGTGAGATGTCTGCACGGCTGACACTTTTGTCTCTTCACGGGGAAGCTTTTAACTTTGGCAATGTTAAGGTGACTTTTTCAATGGAGATTGTCAGTATTGGCGGACTGCTGCTGTATTTTAGGTGAGAAATAAAACCGGATGTGATAGCATGTATTGGTGGACAATGGAATTAATGGTAAAGATGAGGGCAAATGAATCTACTTTACCCATGTGGCTCAAACCCCAACTCTTATAATGTCTTGTGTTGAGCCCATTTGGCCAATCTAGTCTTAGCTTTTTCAATGGAGTAAACTACATTAATCCCAATTTCCCTGTTCTTTCCCTCTGTCTATATCCTAAACATCATGTTTATAATAATGTCTCACCAATAATGTCACTGGTTATGGCATTGTTTTTCTGCTTTGCCTTTATGTGTTTCTGTGAAAATAATTGACTAATCTACTCATGTAATTGAAACCTTCCCTAACAGGGTGTGCAATATGCTTCTTATTCTGCATGTGACATTGCAGTGCTCACACATCTGTTGTACAGTAGATTGAAGATAGTAATGCAGAGTTCCCACACGAATGGGACTCGCACCATACGTCATTTCAGTGAAATATATTTAATATTTCATAGGGATAACATTCTTCTTTTAGCTTTCTTTACCCCCTAATGGGATAACTTACCTCGCGTACAAGAGTACTTTGTTGGCTGCCCACCAACAAGATGTATAGCAATCCGAGAGCACCACGGTAAAGAACTCTCTCTTTCTGTGTGTGTGTGTATATATGTGTCTGTCTGTCTCTCTCTCTCTCTCTCTCTCTATGTTTCTCTCTCCCCGTGTCTCTCTCTCACCATGTCTCTCTCTCTCTCTCTCTCTTCCTCCCTCTCCATTCTTCTTGCTCTTACTACATCTGAGTTCAGCAGTGTAGCAAAGTTGGAAGGAGTGGGAAGAGTTGAACTGTCCTACTGCTCCCTGGCACTGTATGTTGATGCTGTAAGACACTGTCGACATCATATTACATTCTAATTACTGGAACTGTTTTTCCTTTCATAATTCATATAAATACACCCACACGACACAACACTAGACTAATTGGCATTTGCACTGCCTTCAGCTGCACTAAATCAAAACCACAAAGAAACCCCATCAAGCCAATTTTTTTTACCTAATTCTTCATCTGTTCATTTTTAACTCATGATATAAATATTATTAAGATCCATGAAATATAATTTGCATCGCCTGTTACAACTTCATTGCTCAATCGACTTACTGGCTCAGCCAACTTGCGGGGCACAAATTGTGGCCTTTGGTTTGTCCCAACTCATCATGTCTGTTTTGCTTTGGACGCAAATACGTAACCATTTTACTACATTTGGTTCTTTGCCTTCCAGATCTTTGCTCCTGATTTCTTTGCCCCAAAGCGCAAAGAAAAACTAACGTTTTCGCC